GTGAATGCTCCAACACTGGAAGTTTTTAAGAAGAGACTGGACAGCCATTTGTCCGAAATGGTATAGGGTTTCCTGCCTGAGCAGGGGGTTGGACTAGATGACCTTCAAGGTCCCTTCCAACTTTACTATTATTATTATTATTATTATTATTATTATTATTATTATTATTATTATTATTATTATTATTATTATTATTACTTTGTAGTCCCCTTCCAGCTATACTTCTCAATCATATGTTCAAGGTGAGAAGGAGAAATCCTGTTTTAACTGTTGTTGGACCAGAAAACTAGGAAAATCATCTTAAGAGGAGAAGAAATTGTATGACAAATTTGCAACAATACTAGCCAATCCTTGCAAGTAGATTGCTATGGAATATTTTCAGTTGAGTTTCCTGTTGCTCTCTCTAATCCCACTAGAAATATCCTAAAACTTACCATATTTTCTTTTTATTAGTGGCAAAACACTACAATGCAGTTTTAATATATCACACTTCTGAACTTTTTGTTCCAATATAACTTCTCATGATAAGGACTGGAATTTACCACATTTAAGCAAATACCATGTTTGTATTTTCCTCACCTCTATCCTCAGATATGTTAAATACGGACACTCACCACAAGAGGGTGGCTTTGGTCTGTGTATCAAGCACCATACATGCCTAGAAATACAACTAAATATCAGTTTGGGTCTCCAAAATACTGCACACCTTCTGTCTCTCTTCACCTTTTTCAGATATATAGCTCAGCTTATCACATTATCCTACAGCAGCGAATCCTTATTTTCTGAAGTGGATTCAGACTATTGACCAACATCTTATTTGCATATACCTTCCTTTGCCATCCTTCTCTATCCACTGATGGTTCCTTCCGGTGATTCTCAATACTAATTTCAAATTAAAATGCAGTAAAGACTCAATCCATCAGCCAAGCCTGCTCCTTGTTTCCAGTCCAGGCATGTAGTCAGACATAGCTAGCTCAAGAATATCCATGCTTTTACTGTACTATCATGAGAAAGTTTTGCATCATGGAAACAAGCTTGCCAATACCGTTTTTGTTGCATGACACCTTTAGTACAGGTAGTCCCTGACTTACAACTATAATTGAGCCTGGAATTTCAGCCAGAAGTCATTGCATTATATGACCAGATCTGGTTGTTGTTGTTTTTACTCTTTTTGCACTGGTCATTAAGTGAATGCTGTGATCATTAAGAAAATGCGGCTGTCACTAAGCAAATCCATTTTCCCCAATGGGTGCTTTTTTTTGCTGGAAACTAGAAGTAAATGCCAGAAATCAGCAAAAAAAAAAAGTCACAAATCATGGTCATGTGACTGGGGGATGGTGCAAACAGTTGCAAAGGTGAACTGGTTGTCATGCACTCAAAACTGCAATCACATGACTGCGGGGATGAGTGCGGCTTTGTAACTTTAAAATGAATCATAAGTAGCTCTGGGAAAGCTCATTGAAACTTCAAATAGTCATTAAGTGAACAATTATAAGTCAAGGACTATCTGTGGAATACTCGTATGACTCCACTCTGAAGAGGATCCTCCCCTTCAGCCCAAAACTAAGTTGGGGATGGATGGGCCATATCTGGGCTCAATTCCCCTTTCCACAAATAAGTGCCACTGCAAAAGGCACCTGGAGTACATGCAACAGAGAAGAAGTCCTCAAGACAATCTAGCCCAAGGGCACAGCGATTTGAGAAGCACAACATGTGCATATTGACGCTGCTTACTTAAATCCCCATCCGGTGCCACCAAGAACAATAGCAGCCACCAAGATGGCTCCAGCAATGGAGCCAATAATGATGTTGGTACCACTGGGACCTGTGGAGAAAGAGGGGACAAAAATATAAACTGTGTTACAATGGTTTGTATTCTTGATATGCAGCATAATGGGCAGAACCTAGTTGTACAACAGGACTATCCTAATTTAATAATTACAGTGAAAACATATAAAACTTCTGGAAATCAGAAAAAGGGATTGTTTTTAAATAGGAAAATAGGAACAGGAGAATATAGAACAGTTCCCAAGAAGTAAAGAAGAAGGCAGAAAAGAAGGCTATTTGAACATTGCCACATCAAACTCATCTTGCAATATATATTGCAAGTTTCTCCAGTCTTGGAAGATTCTTGAATTCCTCACTCCTTTTCTCAGAAAAATCTGGAAATACCAGGACAGATAAAGGGGTTGATCCAAAATGGAAAATGGCTGAAGGGCTTTCAGATAGAATAAGGTTTCTGCAAGAAACCTTTTTGATTACTTATTTAATTGGTTGAGTGTTCTGACTGTCTGCAAAGTAGTTCCTTCCCACAAACTTACCCTTGTATTTTTCTGTTTCCCCAGTAGGCTTAGGCTCTGGGATAGGATCATAGACACTGCAGTCTTTTCCTGTCCAATCTGAATAGCAGATGCACTGGCCCTCATTGCTGCAAACCTGTAATTAAGCAAGATGCTTTTTGTGGAGCTCCTCAAACCCATTCCCGTGATCTTTTTCCAGAAACTTGTATGTGTTCACTTGACCTACTGTATGTTTCTTTCTGCAATGAGTACCATTACACAATGAGATGACAAAAATGAAGCTTTCAGGAGAAAAATAGAAACTCCCCCAATGCACCAAAAATAATTCGATATTATTTAATAATGTTGAAGAATGACTGTTTCGCAATGGAATAATCATTTTGTTTTATGTTGGCATCCCATATTACTGTAGATGGATGTTAACTGCATGTAATTATTAAATCATAATCGGCTTTTTCTATGACCCCTCATTACTTGCCAACTTGTGGCAATATGGGTGGCTAACAAATAAATAAATAAACTTCAGGAATATTTAAGAAAGACATGCTCCTATTTTGAGTATTCCTATTTTTTCTTTAATATTTAATCCACAAGGAAATAAAGCCAAGAAACAAGTGCACAAGTGCACAAAGTTAGCGTTTATATAGATCATACTTGGCAAAATAGTTGCTAAATGATACATTTCTTTCTCTTTTTTGCATTATTATTAAATGAAAGCAGAAAACACAACTTTATTTATAATTTTTACCCCATGGTCGAAGCAGATCTGGCCACCCCAGCTGCCTGGGCAGATACTGAAGTTAAAGGCAGAGACAGGAAGGCATTTGTGATCAAGACACAACATGTTGGGTCCACAGGGTGTCCCATCTTCTACGTAGCTCAGATCTGTGCCATCCACTAGTTGCACATGGCCACCCCTGGAGGGGGGAGGAAGAAAAGCTCCATTGAGTGAAGGAATATTTCAATGTCCTTTAAAATCTTTTTGCTCATGCCTACATTGGCGAAACGTTTGAGGAAGAAAAGATAACAGGCACTTTTTTAAAATAGCCCCCTTCATTCTATTGCCTTATATTTACATCCCTGATGCTTTCAGGATTGTGATTTGCAGAAGGACATTCCCCAAAATTATTTGGAAACTTATTCTATGGTGAGAGGGGATCAATCTGCAGCCCAGAACATTCCTATTGTCATCTCTCCAATTCTCCAGCAAGTTGCATGAATGAAGAAGCTGGATCTTAAAGTGCAAGACCCTCCACTTACCGGCAATCAATATATCTCTTCTGGTGATAGAATGTCATTGTTGTGATCTCGCCTAGTAATTCACCAATACGTGGAGATCCTGTCACATTGGCACAGAGAAGATATCCACACAATACATCCCTAATTGGAATGGGAGGAGAGAACCATAACATACTTTTAAAAAGACTGGCTTCTGCCTCAGCTTATTGTTTGTGGCTTTCTAGTGACTTCCCCATGTGGTGTGATTCAGTATACTATGGGAAAGGATATTATGGAAAAGGGAGAAATCTCAGATTACTCACTGCTTGACACAGGGCATCCAGCGGCTCCCCTCATGCCCACAGTTTCCACGCTCAGTGCCTTCAACATTGAGCTTCTCATAGCAAAACCTTTCAGCTGAAGCTTGATTTACAGGAAGGAAAGTGAGAAAGAGAATAAGAGCAAGCCAAAGAGCATAATAGCCATGGATTTCACATATTGAATACTGAAGAATATTCTATATTTGATAACGAAAGAATAAATTCTATCACTAGGTCAGCAATTATGCTGGTGCATGGAGAATCTTAGGAAGGAACTTAGTTAATTAAATAATTTCTTTATTATACATCTGGATGTTTTCTACTGACCTAGCTTTTTGATGTATAACATTGGCCAACTCCAAAAGTGCTTAAGATTTTTAAAACACTATTTTCAAATAAAAGATTTCTATCCTTAAAAAGGGAAATGTGCAAACAATGCCAAGAAAAAAACCCAGAATGTTCATGCTATGCCTTGTGCAAACCTGGTCTATGGGGCTTTGTGTTAACATTTGAGGGTTTAAACTTTCAGAATTGAAAAGTCAGATTCGTTAGTTGGAATTATTTATAAGGTTCATTTTGCTATCTAAGATGAAAACATTTTGTTTTTTATTGCGTTTCAAACTTCCCAAGTCTTTTCAGTTTGAAGAACTGAGTAAAAATTGCTTCAGTAAATAATGGATAAATGATGCCAAATCAAGTTCCTATCTTTTTCTCCCAATTAGCACTATGAAAACATCATCTTAGTTATAGTTATAGCCAGAAGAAAAGGCTGGATTGTCTGGAATCATGAGCCAATTTGGGTGGATAAAAAGGCAGATTATCCAGTAATCCTAAAGATTGGTGCTGATGTAGATGGCATTTATTTTGTCTCCTCCCCCCCCCCATCTTTTTCTTCCTATTCTTCTGTTCTGCTGTTTTTGTGTTCATGGTATGTACCCTCTTCTGTTTAAATCCATCTTCAACATTTCCAGAGTCTCTAATTGCTATATTTTATTCAATCTATCATAATCTGAGACCCTCCAAATATTGTTAAGTTAAAACTAGTTCCTGTCCTCTCCTGACAAATGGTAGGAACTGGTATCCAATTCATCTGGAAGTTATTGGGTTCTGGAAGAAGCCTTATCAAGGCAAAGTAGACGTCACTGAAATAATCACATATTCTTCCCCTGCATATTTCAGTCCTTTCTCTGTATATGCATAGGTGTTTTAAATTAGATTATTGTTGGAATACGTAGAAATTCTAGTTTTCTATAAAGCACAACATATATACATGATGTTAAATATGGTAAATACACAAATAGTCAGATTCATTTGTCTTCTTGGCTATGTTTGGCTATGTTTCTGTTTGCAGTTAAAATGGTTGGCAGAAGTTGAAATAAGCAAAGGTAATGGTGAATATCTCTGGCGCAGGCAAAGAACAAGGCTAGGATCTTCCAAGATTACAGTTCAGCTGGGAATTTCTGTGTTAATTCAGAATAAAGCAACAGTGCATAGCAGTGCCAATTTCAGTTAGTAGCCAAATTGAGGGACCCAAATTGTTAACTTCAAATTAAGTCCATTAAAATTATATCTATAGCTGTGGTGTGGTTATGGACTTTTTCTTTAATTACTTCCATAAGATTCATTAAGCAGCAAGGAAAATTTAGGACCTTTCCCCCTTGTATGTAACTGCAATATAAATAGGCTCTGACAACTCTTTTTATTGCTTTGTAGTCATGCTATGGTCTTCATTTGATCCCCAGCCCCTATTCTAGGCAACATTCAATTTTCTTTAACAGTTCTGATATTTAAGCTGTACTTTCCATCATATCCTAATACTTTTTTTGCCACATATACAAATGACACACTTCACAATTAGGTGTGGAATCAGTGAAGTTCCTTTTGGTCACTTCAGAACTATACACATACAACATATGCGCATGCACACAAACACAAAATTCCTATTCCATGGACACTGTCCTCCATGGATATTCTGGTCTGAGCAGTCAGTATTTTTTCCTGTAACCATAAGATACAAAAGAACAAAATGGATTTTAATACACTCAATTAAATTATAGGTGGAATTCCACTGTAAGGGAAATTAATGGGAAAAGAAGCACAAAATGAACATATGTTCCTAAAAAGGATGTATTCAACACACAACTGCAAACAATTCTAGTAGTCTGGAACCCAAGAAAGTATGTTAGGAAAGCTAAAACTCAGAATATGCTGAGGTGAATGAAGAAGTCTGAGAACAAAAAAAAAAGTTTCTTTAGCTATGATAAGAAAAAAGAATCAACAGACGAGTTGCCCATCTGACTTCATCTTCTCCAGCAAGAAGGTATATTTTGACCCAGAAAATTGTGAAGAGCAGAATGAAGAGGCAGGACTGAGGCATGAGACTGATGAAAGCACAGTCTGGTATTATTTGTTACTTTGCATTAAATCTCCAGGACCAGATGAATTGCATCCTAGGATATTAAAGAAACTTACTGAAGGTCTGGCCAATGCATTATCTTTGAGAGATCTTGGAGAATAGGTGAAGTGCCATATGGCTGGAAAAGAGCATGTTTTACTCCAAGAAGGAGGGGAAAGATTACATAAAAGTTATTCAGACACTAATATAGGAGAGTTTAAAGCAGACAATAAAATAATGAATTTGTGAGCAGTTTTAAAACAGTGCTTTTTCTTGCCAGATAAATCTCACTTTAATTGGATAAATTCGTAACTGTTTTGGGGAATGCTGCAGAGTTAATTTACTTTTATTTCAGCAAAGTACTTGACAAAGTACTCCATGGCATTTAATTAACAAACTAGTAAACCACAATATGGATGACATGGCAATTAAGTACATAGAAGAGTGCTCATCAATGATATCTCACAAAAATAGAAAGTATGTTGTAAGACCAGTCTTGGGCCCTGTACTATATTTTTATTTATCAAGGGATGAAGAGGAGATGCTGATCAAATTTGCACAAAACTGGGAAACTGCCATAGAAGAAAGAAATAAAATTCAAAATAATCTTGATAGCATAAAGAAATTGCTGAAAATAAGAATATGAGACTTAATGCATATTAAGTTAGGAAACAAAACTTCTTTAAGTTAGGAAGCATAGCTATAGAATGTTGAATATTAGTATTTACTGGAGTGATAATTGATTGTAATTCAAATATGAATATGCAGTATAATGTTAGTGCAGCCCACCAAAAAGAAAAAAGTAAATGCAGTTTTAGATTGCATCTACTAACGTATAGTTTCCAAGTAATAACAATCAAAGCTCCACTTTATTCTGCAACATTGGCCAAACCCCACCTTAAATGTTATGTTTGATTCTGGATACCACACTTTAAGAAGGCTTTAGATAAACAGAAACAGGTTCATAAAAGCAGAGAGAGGATTAAAAGGGGACTAAAATTAACTCCTATGAAATGAAATTGAAGGAACTGTACATGCTTAATCCTGAAAAGTGGAGATGGGAGAACATAAGATATCTCCTTTCAAATATTTAAAAGTATGTCAGCAGAAGGGGAAAATTTGTTCTCTGTTCTTTCAGAATGCAGGACATGAAATAATGAATTAAAACCAGATGCTAATTAAATGTTAGGGGGGGGGGAAACTTAACAGTAAGGAACAGTTTGATAGTGAAGCCAATTATCCAGAGAGGTGATGAGTTCTCATTCATTCCATCTGCTAGTATGAAAGTGAGCCATATGGTAGGGATGTTTTAATTTGGATACCTGCCCCAAGTAGGGAGTTGGCCTAAGTGGCCCTTCCCAAACTATGGTTTTCTAATCCCTTGAAATAATGCAAACTTCACACCTCTGGCTTCTTCATTTGGCACTGGAAAAATCAGAAAATGAATAAAAGAACGAGTAAAAGTCAAGCATAGCTACTCGGAATGAAATTGCCTGGTATTACTGAAAACTAGGTCTACAGATGGATGAATTTTGAAGACAATGGATTTCATCTCATCCCAAACCCACCTCTCTTTCTCTAGATTAAATAGTTTGTGCTGTTTGCAAACAGTGATGGAAAAACAGACAAAATGCTGGTGTTTACTGATAAGTGATTTGCTAGTAATGGGTGATTACAATCAGCACTAGAAATGGCTATAGGGGCATCTCCTGTTCCCCTCACTCATTCAAGCAATTAACTATCTCCAAAGAAAGCTGCTAGCAAAAAGCCTCCAGAACAGAGTTCAAGCAGTCTGCTTAGCAAACTGCTATATATAAAAGAAGAGAATCAAACTGTACCTCAGTTAAGGAATAACAGAATGAATAAGTTTTCCCTAACCGTCTCCAGTACTAATATTATTGGATATCACTCAAATATTAAAGTGCCACTATATTTTATAGGCATGTCTACTAAGGTTTGCATTACTACTAGATGGCTGCAAAGAGATTAAAAAAATCTTTTCTGCAGTGTACTGGCTACTTACATTTTGCAAATCAGTTATGATGATTCTTTTCTAAGAGTAAATAGCTACTTACCTCGCCCCCACAATGCATTGCACTGGCGGTCCCTGGTTTTACAACGGCCTCCATAACACCGGCCCTACGGAGCCAAAAATGGGATTTGTTAGAGGCTCATGCAAGAACCACTCAGCTTGCTTGTTTTACAGAAAGTGTATTATCCATTGGGACCTGAGAATTCAGATGTGTCTTTAAAACTCTGCATTAACCTTTATTTATTTGTTTGTTTAAATAACCATTGAGAAACTTGCTCCTTGTTCAGTCTGATTTAATTAGAATTTTCCAAGGGTATTTCTTTTACTGGAATTGACAGATGGGTCCAACTGCAATTAACCTTTTCCCCCATACTTCCTGCAATTCCAGGAAGTCTAATTATGAAACTGACATACCAACTATACCTGTTCATTGTCACAAAAGTAGCCATCCTGTTTGTGTACATTAGGTGGACACTACAGGGGAAAAAAAGAGAATTATATCAGAAAGGACAAAATATAGATAAATACAACTCAGGAAAACTGGTAAAAGGCTCTTTTCCCTAACTTACTACTCTCCAGATGTACTAGCTATCATGCCATAATCTTCAGTCAACATGACACATATTTAGAGCATCAGGTTAGGAAGGCTAGAAAAGGTAGAGACCCATTTTAAACGAACATGCTTTCAAGTCAATATTATCCACAACATCTCTTTTTTAGAAATTTAAATTCTAGATAAAACCAGAGCTTTTTTTCCTCATAGAATGCACAGAACAGAGTTCCGGCACCTTTTTTGGATGGAACCTTGTAGGGTAGGCAAGGCGGATTGTATGACGTGTGTGAGTTCTGGCACCATTTTTTATTTTTTTTTAGAAAAAAAGCACTGGATAAAACTGTTCAATAATGAAGACTACATGCCATCAGATGTTGTGCACAGAAACCACCAAAACATGGGTGTCTTGACTAGTAGATTAAAATGCTATCCCCCCCCCAATCTACTTGTAAATCACATTCCTTATAATTTCTCCAACTTACCTGACTGGAGTCCCCAGTACAAGTTTCTGGGATATCACATTCATTCACAGCTTCTCGGCAAGTTACACCCCGTGGCTCATACTTCATGGTAGAAAATAGGAGAAAAATAAAAGTGGAGTTTAATATTAGCTGGCAAGGGAAAAACAAAACAATATGTCACGTGAGGTCTTTCTCTAACTTTATCTTTTTTTCTAGTCTCAGTGCAGGAAAAGAGGAGAACCAAATTATCTCTAGCACCATGCAAGGAGCAGCAGAATTTACTGCTCTACATAATCCTAATTTCATCATTTTTCTCCTTGCAACAAAAGGGAAAAGAAAGCATATCTCAGCATTTTACCAAATCCATTCACAAATTTGTGCTTTAAATATTAAATGTGCGCAGACATATATGCACAGGGTTCCATCCATGAGTTGGGAATATGTGACATTGTGAGGCTGCTGAAATTAGGCAGGTGAAGATTTGCTCAAGGGGGAGATTGAACCCAATTTACCCCCTCACCCCCATGATTTATGTAAACTATAATGCTTTTAGCTGTTCAGAAATATTTTGTAGAAAATCTTGCACATCTGAGCCATTTCAAAATATGTGCACTGACACCGAATACCAAATTGTGGCCTGGCCTGATTACAATTTGCTTTACGTAGGCAGCATTGACATGCAAGCACAGATGATGCCCTGCTGTATAACTCCCAAGAAAGGAAGCTTTGCTTAAAACTGGTGAGAGATGGACACAGAATCAAGGGATAAAGGTCCCATCCCAACTTGTTTACCTTGCACTCTCGACAACACAACCCATCACTGCACATGGCATCGTGCGTAAGGGTACATTTCTTGCAGCAGTTTCCTCCACTTTTAGAACACTCCTTTGAGAAAAGAAAAACAATAGATTTAATATTGCTTGGAATTTTGGATCAAAGTTGAAATAAGAAAAGTACAGCTTCAGTTTTTTTATATCTTAACTAACATTGTTTTAGAGATCTTGGTTTTATTTTCAAACTCATCACCACCATATGAATACAGTAGGAAGATGAAGTTTCCAATATGAAAACTTGAATTTGCAAGTTTTCTTAACATATATTGCTTTATTTTGCAAATTATGCAGATTTAATCAATTCTCAAGAAAGCTCTTTTTTCCTTTTACCAATTGAGATAGCTATATTGTTTATAATTTCTCTAATGTTTGTGGTTAGTTTTTACTGACATTTTCTTTGGGGACACATATCTCATGAACAGATGATGTTTGTTCTTGTGGATTTTGAACAACACTAAAGCAAAACAAAAAGATGCTGGTTGAATCTATCCAGCCTTAATGTCGAGGTTATCCCAACTTTTATGGATCATGACATTCTGAAGAAAAAGAAAAATTGCCCTTTGATAAGAGAGCTGTTGGGGCTCTGATTCTGAACTACTCCAATCTCTGATAAAATAAAAGACATTCTTCAGCATGCATAAAATAGAATTCAGAATTCAAAGCCTGGCAGAATTCAAAATAATATTACTAGTAGTAATATTATTGTGAGTCAGATGGCACCTTTTTTTAGCCCCAGTTGTTGCTTACCGCAAAGGACCCACAGTCACATTCTTCTCCTGCTTCAACAAATCCATTACCACATTCAGGAGGGTCAAGGAGCTGTGTTAAGGAGATATTGGTAAAGGAAATGGAATCATTAGAAGGTTCCATGACATCATTTAATAACATTTTCTTCTACATCACTCATTTGCGCTTGAAAATGGAGATGAAGAAGCTCTCTTGAAATTTCTTCTTTTTATGTTTCCATTTTGGGACAGGGTAGATTTGAGAAATCAATAATGAAAGTGAAAGTATTTTTTTTAAAAGGTAAACATCAATTTCTTAAAATAAATTCCTGTATTGTTTTACCAATTGACATCTGATATGGGACCATAATTTAAGCAAACTGAACTCAGAATGACACTATACTGTTTATGATAAAATGCTATTCAGAATTATGACATAACAGCAAGGTGAAGGAATTTTGGGAGTTAACGGCCATATATTCATTGGGAACCAATTTGTTATAGTACTTCATAAACGCCTAAAATTATTATATCCTTCCTGAAGTGGAGCAGAAGTTAAGATAAATTGCTTCTCCTTCAATATCTATATATGCTGGATAGTTCTCTTCCAAGAGATGTATTAATTTATTGGCTTATTCAGGGTAAGGTAGGTACAATACCATTCAAGCAAAGCCATTGCATCAATGAGGTTTTAAAAGTTGGGGATCTTGGTCTTTGGAATATAAAATTGTCAACATTTCACCTATTTAGTTTTGCTACAACCTTGATCTTAATCTATGGGATTATTCTATCCTGATTGAAAATATAGGAAACAGTACAAACTATTTGCATCTAAAGGATCAGCAAAAGGTGTCGAAATGACTTTGAATTCTGGGGTCTTTGATTAATTAAGAAAGAGCTCATACCTTCATTATGAATCTGGCCTAATATTTAGTACTATTACCCTAATTTAAAGATCTTTATGGAACAAAAATACTGGAGTTACACTTTGATTATGTTTGGGAAGGAAGTCAACCCTGCATTTTTATGAAAGTCACTCAAGCTTACCTACAGCAGAGACGTGTAAAATGCATTGGCTGAAGCCATGCAACACATGTTGATGACAAGTCTTCAAAAAATACCGGTAAATGGGGCTTAGATGGGAAACTGCCAAAAAAAATCACAAAACTGAAGAGCAGTTTGGGAAAGTGAAAAAAACTCCAAATTGCAAATTACTTTCATATTGTTGTCAAGAAAACAATTATGAAGTGCAATATCATTTGATTGTTGCCTTTTTTCTAAAAAAAATGATCTTTTCAACAATTCCGCGAGGTCCGCTGAGAAGTAGTATCACCTAATTCCATAATTAGATATGGTCCTACCTTATCTAACTCTCTCGCTGATATTCTGATCACAAAACAAGAATTTTGTTTAACTATAGTTCCAGGAAGCGCAAAGATATAAGATATGAAAAATGTTGTCTGGAAGTAATTCTTATTTACAATTGTGATCAAGTGGAAGTGTTTTAATATTACCTTCAAAGGCTTGTTAAAGAGACAGCTTCCTCCTCCTTCAGCCAGAAACTGATTGAATTCATCAACACTGCAGCGTGAAAATTTCCGTGGCAAGTAGTATCTGTGTTATTAGGAAGAGAGCCAATAGAAGATCAAAACCCAATGAAATGTCAAAGGAGGTAAAAGTTTTTCTTGGTACGGAGACTTCCAATGAAAAATGGATGTTCCTGAACAGGGGGATAACATTACAGCTGAATTGGCAGCTGAAAGCTGGATCTGAGCTATTGAAAACTCTCCAGAGAAAGAAGAGATTGTGAGATTGCCTTTACATACTCCAGATAGCTGTTACTGGTGTGTGGACACCCCCCCTCAAGTTCTAGGACATTATTTGAGGGGATTAAAAACTAAAATTGTACAAAATAAGGGGAAGGAATATTGTCATGGGCCAGGATTCAGACTCTGACAACGTTGCTCCAGCTGAGTCTATGGGTTGTTAGCCTCAGAAATCTTCAAGCCAAAATTCATCTGAAGAGGCTGAGCAATCATATGAATCTCCTCATCAGTTGGAGCAGTCAGATGATGAGGCATGACCCCCAAGCCCCAAGGCTTGACATAGGCAGTGGCCAGTGGACCAAAGCCAGTGAATGAGGCTTTTCACTAGATAAAGGACAAAACCTGAGTAATTGCAGCCAACTGCAGATAGATTTATGTATCTACTTTTCCTTTAATCTTTGTTGTAAACAACCATTTGGATTTTTAGTTTGTGTTAATTATTCCCCTGTAACTTATTTTTGAACCTTTGACTTTTGGACTGGCTATCTATCTGACTCAGTACTCTGATTCTTGGAATGATTTTGGATCACTCTATTGCTCCTTGAACATCAAAGTGATTTATTCAGGCAAGCTCTCTTTGCATAGACCCTGATTTGCAATCTGGTCAACTATTAACTGCTTATCTCCATAGCAACTGCATGCATATGTCTGTCTGCAAACAGAAACAGAACAAATATGAAGTACTGTAGGTTTATTGATCAAGGTTAAAATAGATGCATTGTCTGAAAATCATTAATTGACTTTTGCTAACTAGGACTGAATGAAGAGGTTTTAAGGTTCTGTTTTCAGATAAGAGATATGGAAAAATAATTTTGTATTTTATGTACGTAATTTAAACAATATTAATATCTTATGTATTTTAAGTAATATTAATATAAAGATGTGGTCTTTTCCTGCATCCATGGGTGATTTTGGGTCAGTTATTCTCTCTCAACCCAACTCACCTCATAATGTGGCTGTGGGGAAAATATGAGGAAGAAATATTATATGTTTGCCACCTTAACAAGATAAAATAAATCTAATGGATTTTTCACTTATTATGATTGGATAATGAGGTTTGTGGAATTTCTTTATAGATAAAACATGAGATACAGAAGGAAAACAGGTATTATAAAGTGTGTTTTGGATTAAGTTTAAAACAGATATACTGGTGTTTTGGGTAACTCTCAATGGACTTTTGCTGATTAGGATCTCATCTCTTAATAATTTCTGGAACTATTTTTTTACTGTTTTTTAAATATTAAGAACCCTTGGAACACCAAATTTCATGATATTCATAGGGTGAGTCCCCTTCGATCCATAGCAAAATAATTTTTTAATTCAAAAGAATCAGAAAAAAAATTTTTGAAGAGATTTTGAAGAGATGAAATAATACCATTCTGGATAAATGGCTGTTCAATCTCTTTTAAAAAGTGGTGGAGCACCCATAACTTCTGGAGGCAAGCCATTCTGATTAATTGCTCTCACAGTTAGGAAATTTCTCCTTAGTTCTAGGTTGCTGCTCCCCTTGATTAGTTTCCATCCATTGTTTCTTGTCTTCCTTTCAGGTGCTTTGGAAAATAGGTTGACCTCCTCTTCTCTATGACAACCCTTCAAATATTGAAAGACTGCTATTGCTTCATTCATAGTCCTTCTCTTCGTTAGATTAGACAAATCTAGATCCTGCGACCATTCATCATACATTTAGCTTCCAGTCCCCTAATCATCTTTGTTGCTCTTCTCTGCACTCTTTCTAGAATCTCATCCTTTTTGCATCGTGGTGACTAAAACAGGAGGCATTATTCCAAGTGTGGTCTTACCAAGGCAGTATAAAACAGTACTAACACTTCATGTGATCCTGATCTGTTGATGCAGTCTAGGACTGCATTGGATTTTTTTGGCAGCTGCAGCAATGCTGGCTTATATTTCAGTGGTTGTGCACTAGGAATCCTAGTTTCCTTTTACAGTTATTTACAGTTATTTACAGTTATTTACAGTTAAGAGAAGATGATGATTTGTTAAAAACATTTTTATTTACTTTATATTTTTATATTTATATTTTTTATATTTATATTTTATATTTTTTATATTTTTTCTGCTCTATTTATATTTTTTTTTCTTTTCTCTTACACTTTCCTTATTTTTTATTTTTCTTTTTTGTAGTTTCTATTAGTTTTTATCTGTATGGTTGTAATATCTAGTAAAAATTATTTTAAAAGTTTTCTAAGCTCAGTTAGATGCAAGATCATTTATATAACTGTACATTTGCATCTTGAATTTGTTTTCAGTTGATGCCAGAGGCTTACGGTGGGATGTTTTCTGGCCCATGCGAGGGTCTATTAGTGACACAAGTTTCCTTTCCTTTCTTTGAGGAAGAGAGCAGGGGTGGATAGGGGGAAGGCTGATAAGAGAACTGAATTTAAAAACTGACAAGATAACCAGATGTCAGATTACTAAAAAAGGAAAATTGAACAGATGTATCTTTCTTTTTCCTGTGCATAAAGTGCTGCCTGCTTTCTTCTGAAGCCAGCTTGAGAGGGAAATAGATGAACTTAACAATAATCAATCAAAGTGAGTTTTATGATGCCAGCAAGATGTAAAGTTAAGGTCTAAACAGTTTGGGGGATACTTTAATAAATCCTTGGTTAATATTTCAAATATTAACCCAACCCTTATGTGATCTTCACTTCTTCTACAACTTACCCAGTATCTTCCATAATACAACCCAGCCATAAGTCAGGACAGCGACAATCCCCTATAGAGAAAAGGAGAAACAAAAAAAGATAGAGAGATCTTTTTAAAGAATTATGGGAAATATACATTCTCTATTCCTGGTTCACATTTTTTGTCCGAATCCCTTATTTCAAATTATAACTCAGAATTGTATATTCCTAAAGCTGAAATCATCAAGTACCATTTATTTTCTCCCTGTCTGTAATAAAACATCCCATTCTAAGATTAAGCCTTAAACCATTTTTTTCTATAAAATCTGAACTAGATGTTGTTAGAAGATGACCATGTTAATTTTGGAAATGTTAATGTTGGAAAAAATATCAAGAAAAATCTGGTAGCAATCTTTCCTAACAAAGGTTGACAACTCTCTTCTGATGATTGCATAATGGTTGGTACTACATCACCTAGATAGCATTTCAACTTGTATTCCTCTCCCAGAATTTTTATTTTATTTTCTCGCCAAGTTTTGCCTCCCAAAATTTTTAAAGCTATTATAAATAACAAGGGAGAAAGTAAACACGCTTACCCAATGGCTTTACTTGTGGAAAAAATTGCAGTAATCCTTGCAGCTTGTTGTTGGTATGTTATCCACCCAATTTTTAAATTCTTGTTTTGGATTCATTTTTTAAAAAAAAAAGCCAAATAAAAAGGCCACTCCAACTTGTCAAAGGCTTTTTTTTGCATGTACAAATATTAGTGCTCTGCTTTTTTTTTTAGTAATGTTGTATTCTAATACATTTATTTTTAATACATTGTTCTCCTTCATTTTCCTCTTGAGGATGTAACCTGTTGTCTATATGCTATCAATAGCTTATAATGTTCAGTAAAGAAAATGCTGCAAATGACTTAATAGTATCTATTAATAGCTAGTCCAATGTAGTTTTAAACTGAAATGAGGAGAAGGGGAGGAAGGCAGGTTCAATATGCAGATGAAGGTTACATAACAGACAGATCAAAGAATGTTTCAGGCAATTTCAGGAGGTCCCCAAAAATGTAATATTTGTAATACTTGTAATCTGTCATATATCACACACATTTGCATAACCTGTTAATTAGTTGAAAAACTTGAACTAGGAATCTCCAAGAAGTTCATCTGCAATTTTTTTTGCAGTAACATTTTATTCTTTATCTTATTAACCTCAAAAGAACTGGCTTGGCTCACCCATTCTACTATTATGATCATGACCTTAAAAAGCAGCCAATACACTGGCAAAGAGAATTTGGAAGAAAAGCAAATTAGATCTGGAGGACTGACAACATAAACCACAGTCTAATGAATCCAAATTCAGGCCCCAATTTCAGTTTCGGCTTATCCACTCAGAACCTTTTAAAGTAGAGATTGCCAAATTGGAAACCAGAACAAAGTAATCCCTAATCTGAGACTGTTACCCTTAAAGAAACAATCTCAACTTACACTAAAATGTTCATGATGCATGAAAAATATCATGCAGAGCCAACATAGACAACAGAGTAGAGCCAACATTGATAATGGAGTACTAAACTGGAAACCTAAAAATTATCTTTTCAAGTTTCTCCAGAACAGGAGACAAAGCTTGAGAATGGAATAGTTCTTCAATCTAGTATAATAAAAAATGCCTGTTGGGCTCCAGATCTCTTTAAAACAAATTCTTTTAGTCAAACCATAGCCTCATAATTATTGTTTGGCTCAATCAGTGGTTCGCAATCTGTGGTCTGCAGTCCACTAGGGGGGCTGCGATGTCATCATAGGCTTGAAGAAATGTTATGATTTAAATCTTGAGTTAAGTCTTGGAAGTCTGTGGCCATGGTCCGTAGCCACAAAACATATTTAAAGTGGGTTTGTGATGAAAAAAAGGTTGAGAACCACTGGACTAAGCACTTTTCAGGTTCTCATTATTCAGGTCACTTTCTCCACTTGGCTCATCACACAGTTACTTACCTGCAGAAGCACGGTGCTTGTTCCACATCATACCAATGTTTTGACCCAAGGTCTGGGCTAATGTTACTGCCATGGCTCCAACGGTACCATACTTTGGGAAGGAGGATAACAAGTTATTGGGTAAGCTGAATATGAAGTGATCAGCTATCATAAAAATGTTAAAATTTTTGATGGCAGATCTTTCAGATCTTTCCCAGATTATTCACAGGCCCCATGGTAACTACTCCACCCCACCTTTCCTCTCTCTGCAAAGAACAATGAAATCCTGGCTATGACTGACATGTAAAGAGCCCTATTAGTACATTGGCTTCTTTGTAGAATCATGTAAAGAAACAAGAGAGGTACTACCCAAGGATCTTACAATATAAATTTAGTTGACTGAAGGCAAAAAAGAGGGGGAAGCAGAAAGCATAAGGGGTGTATGTCAGCAAATGTAGTGACAAAAATCACAGGTATTAGTTCAGTTAGGGTGTGGAGACTGAGATCTTCAAGGCTTCGCTGAAAGTAGATATTCTGAAAGGGTTTTAAAGGGCAGAAGAGTAGTATCTCACAAGCTTGGGAAATGGATTTTCAAAGCCTCAGGAGTTGCAAGATGATAAGAGAAATCTAAATGAGCTTGAGATCTTTAAACAGACAGATTTGATAGGGTTGGAAGAGCATGCAGGCTTTAATTCTGTATCTTTAAACTCCAGTCCCAGTCATCATAATCCAACTCACCTCATTCACACCTCCGCCTCTAGCAACTGAGCAGATCCCTCCAACATAAGCTGTACCACTGCGGCTGCTTCTAAAAGTGTGCCCTCTGGGAAAGTAAAAAGGAAAATTCACTATGCGGATGAAGGAAAAGCTAGATAGTCTTGACCTACTAGATGTTTTTGTCCTCTTGGCATTCACTTACTAAACCTAGAACAATGAAAACTGTCAAAATAGGGCAAGAGTATAGATTGGTTAGGGAATTCATTTCTTTGCATCAGCCTGTTACCTTTGTTCCTCACTATGATAAATATGTGCTCATTAATTCTAGTTAACTACAGAGGAGAGAGGAGGCATGTTCATGTATGAAGAATTCCTAGCAATATTCCAGGACAAAACTATTTCCATTTCAGTTAGAAACTCTGATTTTAGCATTAAGTCCAAATGGATATTGCTGTGCCACATTTTATATGCTAGAATAGAATAGAATAGAATAGAATAGAATAGAATAGAATAGAATAGAATAGAATAGAATAGAATAGAATAGAATAGAATAGAATAGAATAGGAGCTGGAGCTGGAGCTGGAGCTGGAGCTGGAGCTGGAGCTGGAGCTGGAGCTGGAGCTGGAGCAGGAACAGAAGAGTCGGAAGGGACCTTAGAGGTTTTCTGGTCCAACCCCCTGCTCAGGCAGAAAACCCTATATCATTTCAGGCAAATGGTTGTCCAATCTCTTCTTAAAAACCTCCAGGGTTGAATCATTCATAACTTCTGGAGGCAAGGTGTTCCACTCATTAATTGTTCTAACTGTCAGGACATTTCTTCTAGGTTGTTTCTCTCCTTGATTATTTTCCATCCATTGCTTCTTGTCCTGCCATCAGGTGTTTTGGAAAATAGCTTGACTTCCTCTTCTTTGTGGCAATCCCTAAGATATTGGAACACTGCTATCATGTCCCCCCTTGTCCTTCTCTTCGTTAAACTAGACATACCCAATTCCAGCAACTGTTCTTTATATATTTTAGCCTTCAGGCCCCTGATCATCTTTGTTGCTCTTCTCTGTATTCTTTCTAGAGTCTCAACAACTGTTTTACATCATGGTGACCAAAATTGGATGCAGTATTCCAAATGTGGCCTTATCAAGGCATTTTAAAGTGGTATTAACACTTCACATGATTTTGAGTCTATCCCTCTGTTAATGCAGCCTAGAACTGTGTTGGTTTTTTGGCAGTTGCAGCTGACCCATATTTAAGTGATTGTATCTTAATTCTTAATTCTGTACCTATATTAATTCAAACTTGTTGTTGAATCTATACATTTTAATCACGAGTCAAAAGCAACTGTTATTTTGAAAACCATGCTTGCTAGAACTGGAATTAACTTTAGTGGTAAACTAATTAGATATATCAGGGTGCCTTTTACGTAATTTTAACAGGTAATACAGTTATTATCTAGTACAGGTAGTCCTTATTTAGTGACCTCAAATGGGACCAGCAACTCGGTCATTAAGTGAAGCAAGTGTTAAGTGAAAGCACACCTGTGTGCTTTCCTTTGCTTTACATAACTGCAAAGGCTGCAAATGCAAATTATTGGTCATAAAGTCCCTTTTTCATTACCATTCTTCCATCCTTCCAAGATCAGTAAAATGAGGGCCCAGATTGTTGGGGGCAATATTCTGACTCTGTAAACCATTTAGGGAATGCTGTAAAGTATCATAAAGCAGTATATAAGTCTAAGTGCTATGTATTAACTTTGAACAGTTACTAAGCAAAGCAGTTATTGAATGAAGACTACTTATATAAAAAAATCAGGCAAAGTTTTCTTTTTGTGCCAACATCTTATTTCTATTATATTAGTTAATATTCTTCAATAGCAAAGAATGTCTCTATGTTATCCTAAATGTCTAAAAAGGAATATAAATAAAAGTGAACATATAATAGAAAGCTGTATTTCATTTGCTATAATACCAGGAGATCTATTATATAGGCTTACCAGAAAGGCAGACTCCTGGGCAACTTGTTCAGTAAAAGAAAAGTTTCATTACATACATAGATTTTCTTAACATCCCTTATGAACATCTCTAACATCCCTACTTCAGCCTATTCTTACTATCAGAACTATAATAGTTAATTTTGCATCTTTCTAGTATAAAAGTGACCACATTCCCATTTAAAACTCACGAGAAAAGATGGGCAGCATCACTGTGTTCAGGAAGAGACTCTTGGCGATATTTCATAAACTCTCTCAATGTCTCTAGGGAATCTTCATCAGTCTGGATCTTATCCCCCGATGCCCATGTCTCCATGGCAACCAACACAATACGAGTGTTCAACTGCTCCTTAAAAATCTGTGACCAAACATAGATTTTTTATAAAGGTGGGGGCCTTCCACCTTCCATACATGAGATATGTTTTCTATTTGCCAAAGTACCACAGTTTTCCAAGTGTACCCTTTAAGTCAAATGAAAACTAAAATAGTTTATTTCCTTCCCACAATTTATTTTCATATCTACTTTTAGTGGAAAATGATTAAAATTAGTCTGAATATTATAACATTATAATTGTTGTTTTATTATTGACATATTATTTCTCTCTTGGTTACTAAAATGTTGAAAATAAGGTGAGGTTGAAGTATTGTTTCATATTTGACAGTAATACTGAAAACTCAACATTTTTGGAGAATAATTCCCATTAAAATTACACAAATTATAAAAGTTGAATTCCTGTTGCAACTTGAGACATTTGTATTAAATTTTACTAAATCATACAATCCTTCAAAGCATACTGAATTAGTTTTGTATATGTTAGCTGCTGCAAGGAAATTATATGCTTCTCATTGGAAACAGAGAAAGAAGAAATCTTGAATAACATTGTTAAGAGTAAGTCTAAATATTTAAATTTAAGAAATAAATTTTAATAAAATTATTTTTTAAAAAATACAAAGCTATTCTAGACATCAAAGCACACTCTTGCAATTTGGCTAGCCATTCTTTCATACAAAGAATCAAAGATCTTTTCCAACAAAAAGCATATAAAATATAGGTTTTTCTATGCAGAGTGTTTATATTTGGGAAATTAGATTCAACCTATTATAGCTTATAATTTTAATTAGTGATTTATGCTGTACCATTATTGTTAGCTTAAAGCTTAAAAGTTATTCTTAATTTTTTCTTTAAAAGGTGTAATTTAATAATTAATATTTTATGGAAGAACTGTAATCTCCAAGACAATTTAGATCTTGTTTACTTATTTGTATCTTACTATTTTGCTTACATACCCTTTGATTCATTTAATGCGTTTTATCTCTCCTTGTCTACAATTCTTTCTTTAAACTGTTCACTAATTTAAAAAAAAAGATGAGTGAGTGTAGAATATAAAAATAAGTGAAAAACTTTGCTCCATATATTTGACCGATTAAATTTGCATTTCTTAAGCTAATTATGAAAATTAAGACAGTTGTCCTTTAGCATGTCGTCATCATCATCATTAGGTCCTGTGCAGAACACCTTGTGTTTTTCAGTGGTTTTCAATCATTCGCAGCCTTTTTGGTATCTCCCTAGGGATCTTAAGATCTTTAAGTTTTCTGAGGCCGGCCTCATTTCCTCTTTCCTCCAGGAATTATCCAACATAGTACAATATTTGAATGCTGGTCTTTAGGCATACATAAGATATCACCAACAAGCTGCATTCAATGTTCATTCACAGTTCTCAATAGATGTTCTAAATCTGATCTTTGTAGTTTACTTCATTAGACATGTGGTCACAATATAAGACATGGAGAATTTTTCCCAAGCAGCATTATTGGGAATTATTTAACCTGTTTAATCATTTTGGTTGTACATTTCCATGTTTCACAAGTATATATTGGCATGTACTAAGTATGAAAACATCTGTCAGGGAAACATTGTCTAAAAATAATTGTGGATACTTGAAAGACAATATGTTTATGTGTGCTTACACATTTAGCTGCAGAGTGCTGTGGAAATGAGATGCTAGGATTTAAGATCAAATATATGTGAAAATGATTTAGAACTCAATAGACTGGGTCACTTATTTGTATCTGATGATGGCCTGTAGAAGGGACCCACCATGAAATCCTCTGCATAGGGCCAGATTTTTCCTTGTTTCATCCTCACCTTATTTTTTGCATGTAATATTTGCAGGAAACTGCAATGTACTCCACACTCACCACATCAGCAAGATTTACTACAGACTTTGCAAAGTTGCTGGTAAGGCTGACTGAGCGGCGCATTTGCTCAAACTGGAACAGAATAGATACAGAAAAAATAGTTTCAGGAAATTCACTCATCATCTGATTAAACCTGAGGCTGAAGCAGTCTAGTGAGGGACTTCCCCTTCTCTACCTCTTTGTTCATGAAGTGACTTCCCCCAACTTAAAAAAATTGCCATAGGGTCAATTTCACTTTTAACACATCAGTACATTTTTGAAATGCCTATCTTCTTAGCCATAAACTTTTATCAGGTTTGCACAGAAATAAGTCCATGTAAATAATATTTCCTGAAACATGTACTGAATTTATTATTTATTTATTAAATTCATATGCCACCCATTTCACTGTTACAGCAACTCTGGGAAACTTACAAAATGTTAAAAAGATAATATTAAATGATTAAAATTAAGAAAAAAGTTTCAGACTGGTTTTGCGGTCTGCAAAAACTTCTTGCTCAAAATAAAAACGGTTTGTTTGAGTCAAGTTCAACTGATGTTAATAAAAAACCAAATCATGCTTGGATGTTGATAATTTTGGAGACATATCAATGTTGTTTTCAAGGCAAAGGTAGAGAAATATTTTCTTTCAGATATTTTTAAATGTTTCAGTCTAGTTTTCAAGTATTTTCTGGTAGTATAATTATTTAATTAATTACTAATTCATTCAGTAAGATAGGCCAAGGATATTGACTAGATTGGGAGGTCATAATAATAACTTGGAAGAAGGCAATGTCAAACCATTTGAACTGAATCACTTTGATAGTGACATGGAGGCATATATATTTAATAAATAAATATTTTATCGTTGTCTATATGGGAGATCCATAAAGTCATTAAGAATTCAGACTAATAACATTATTGATGAATCGACTCTTAATGGTCTTCAATTTGTCAGTCTCTGTTAAATATTGAGAAAGAACCTTTCATTATACATGTTATTTCATTATTGTTATTTGAACAGGATAGGGAAGTATAACATCATTTTGCATTTTAAAAATGAAAAGACAATAATTAAATCATAAATTAAAGACCTCTAGCCCAATTTTGAATTGTGTATTTAAGAGCAATTATCAGGGATTCATTAGTAACTCTGCTCTGAATGCAAAGCACTAAACAAGAGTAAGAACTGCAACAAAACAAACAAACAAATTACCAAAGCAAGACACAATAGGCTTGGAAAGCTTTGAGAGTATTTTATCAATCTACACTGGTCATGCTGACAATGTAATTATATTGATCCAGCAAGCTCAGTTGATGGACAGTTTATCTGAATTGAAAAAGGCATTGTGGAAGAGATCTTGACAGAGGATACACTGACCAATTTTAAAAAAAAGAAAAGAAATCACACTTAAGAGACTGAAAGGAAAAATGCTCTGATCATTGTTTGCCAAATTGCTCAAAGAAACAGTCTTGGCAGGCAATTCATTTGCTTCTCTCCACAAAGAATTTTTAAAGGATCTGCAACAGCAAAACCATCCATATTTGTCTTTCTAGGCCATTATCAGTACTCACCAGTTGGTGGTCATTAACAATTATCAATTCAATGAATTTGGTCTCACTGTGGACAGTCCGATGACCTCGGTGAACCTGGGATGGGAAAAAGAAGAAGACACGTTTACACTGGTAACTCTCCTGCTCTAAGAAGAGCCTTCCCATTCATGCCCAGGAACATATTTTATATACAGGCTTCTATAAGTTCCCATATTCCTTCTCCTTACATTTTATAGTAAGGAAGCTCAATCAGAAGTTTGGAATTCACCAGTCTTCCACAGCCTAGTGCTAGTTAGGCAAAGCTTCCTTAATTCCTGCAAATTGTTAAGAATTAAGAGAAGCAGATCCGAAGGGCAGCTGGAAAAAATTGATATATATTATACAAAAAGCAGCTTTCTAAGCTGTGAAATGGTATGAAACTTCAAGACATTGTATATAATCAGTCAAAGCTAACCCAAACATGATTTTAATCTTACAGTAGTTTCGTACCTTTCTTTTCAATAACAATTATGCAATATCCAGTGTAATTAATATTTTTATTACATTGTTTCTGTTCTATCTTTCCTCTGAGAACTCAAGCATACATTCTATCCACAGAATAACTCTTGTGAGACAGATTGAGCTAAACTGGGACTAACTTCATATACTTAATGATCTGAGAGTGGATCATTTTAGAGACCGAGTGCCCAAACTGCAACCCAAATCCCACTTATGTATCATTGGGTGCCAGGTGGGTGTGGCCCATTGGGTGGGCGTGGCTGCGGTGGTAACAGCAGACTGGGGGGACTAAAAAGTTCAATCAATCAATTCCAACTTTGCAAGATCTTTTTTTTCTCCACGAGAAGTTGAAATTGACTGATTGATTGAACCTTTTTTTTTGTACATGGCAGCAGAGGCCTAAAGTGAAAAGGTTTTATAAAACCCAGCGACAGTGCACGTGCCCACAGAGAGGGCTCTGAGTGCCGCCTCTGGCACCCGTGCTATAGGTTTGCCACCACTGACCTAGATTTTAATCCAACACATTAAACATGGAGCTATAGTGCACCTGCAAGCCTTGCTGCTTGGAATGTGAGAACTTATCTAGCTGCCATTTGTTATTCTAAAATAAAAATTTAACTACAATCTCAAAGTAGTAAAGCAACTTTTTTCCAATAATGTTTTCAAGTGAAATAAACAAAGATCTAATTTGTTTATCTTATTAGATGTTTATCTTGCCATAATAATAATAATAATAATAATAATAATAATAATAATAATAATAATAATATTCAAATTGCTAACTGGTGTGGTAGCTGATGCAGTACAACAGCATCTAATTGAAAACAATCTCTTTCCACCTGAGCAGAAAGGAAACCATCCCAATAGCAGAGGAACAAAAGATCAACTCCTAATAGACAAAATGATCTTGGAAAACTGCAAGAAAAGGAAGACCAACCTGAATGTGGCATGGATTGACTACAAAAAGGCATTTGACTGTCTGCCACATGACTGGATAATCAAGTGCCTAGAAATAACAGGAGTCAGTAGAAACATCAGAAAATTTGTGGAAAGATCGATGGCACAATGGAAGACATAGTTGCAAGTCAATGGTGAGAGACTGGGAGAGGTTAACATCAAGAGAGGAATATTTCAAGGAGATTCATTATCACCATTACTATTTGTTATTGCACTGTTTCCTCTGTCAACAATACTGAATAACTCAGGACATGGCTATCAAACATTAAAAACATCTGCCAGACTATCCCACCTTCTTTACATGGATGATCTGAAGCTCTATGGAAAAACATCATCTGAAATAGAATCACTGCTCAACGCTGTTCGTATATATAGCCAAGATATTGCAGTGGAGTTTGGCTTGGACAAATGTGCCACACTTACTATCAAACAAGGAAAAATAGTGAAAACTGAAGGAATCAAGATGCCCCACGAAAATAACATTAAGAGTCTGGATAAGGAAGATTATTACAAATACTCGGGTATCCTTCAAGCTGACAACATCAAGCACACTGAAGTCAAGAAAAAGATTAGAGGTAAATACATCAAGAGAGTGAAGAAAATCTTAAAGTCCAAACTCAATGGAGGAAATACCATAAAGGTAATCAACACCTGGGCAATTCCAGTCATTAGATACACAGCTGGAATAGTGGACTGGACTCAAGCAGAACTAAAAGCAATGGATAGGAAGACCAGAAAAATAATTACAATGAATCATGCCCTTCATCCACGCAGTGACATTGACAGACTTTATCTACCAAGGCAAATAGGTAGGCATGGAATGCTGCAAATACATCAGATGGTTGAAGAAAAAATGGCTTTGGAAGAATATCTGAAGGACAGTGATGAAGAAATTAGCACTGAAATTAGTATATCAGGAAAGATTACTGACTACTGGAGAGACCAAACTGGCCTACAAGAAAGACCAAATGAAGAACAGAATAGAGGCATGGGAAGACAAAACACTACATGGCCAGTACATTAAAAAAATAGCTGGGAAAGCAGATAATAATAAGATCTGGCAATGGCTAAGAGCAGGAAAATTGAAGAAAGAGACCGAGGGATTAATTTTGGCTGCACAAGACCAAGCCTTAAGGACAAATGCATATAAAGTCAAAATTGAGAAGACAGCAACAGACAATAAGTGTGGCCTATGCAAAGAAGCTGAAGAAACAGTGGACCACCTGATAAGCTGCTGCAAGACGATCGCACACACTGACTACAAGCAGCGGCATGACAAAGTAGCAACAATAGTGCATTGGAAGATCTGCAAGAAATATCATTTGCCTGTAAGCAAAAATTGGTAGGATCATAAAATAGAGTAAGTCATAGAAAATGATAAAATTAAACTGTTCTGGGACTTCAGAATTCAAACAGACAAGCACCTGCAACATAACACCCCGGACTTAACAATTGTCAATAAGAAAGACAAAAAAGTCTGGATAGTGGACATGGCAGTGCCTGGAGACAGAAGAATAGACGAGAAAGAACTGGAAAAGATAACAAAATACAAAGACCTACAAATAGAAATAGAAAGACTGTGGCAAAATCAAGCAAGAGTAGTACCAATAGTAATAGGCGCCTTAGGTGCAATCCCAAAACAACTGGAGCACCACTTGAACACCATTGGCATTGACAAATTTGCCATTAGTCAATTACAAAAGGCGGCCTTACTAGGAATTGCCTCCATCCTGGACGATATCTGTAATAACATCAAACATCCACATCTGCCTATCCCAGGTCCTTGGTAAGGACTCGATAGATAGACAAAATGTCAAATCCAGTCTGAACATCTGGCTGACTGTGCGATGATCTATAGTAATAAAGTTGGAAGGGACCTTGGAGGTCATCTAGTACAACCCCCTGCTCAGGCAGGAAACCATACCATTTCAGACAAATAGCTGTCCAGTCTCTTCTTAAAAACTTCCAGTGTTGGAGCATTCACCACTTCTGGAGGCAGGTTGTTCCACTGGTTAATTGTTCTAATTGTCAGGAAGTTTCTCCTTAGTTCTAGGTTGCTTCTCTCCTTGATTAGTTTCCATCCGTTGCTTCTTGTCCTGCCTTCAGGCGCTTTGGAGAATATCTTGACTCTTCTTTGTGGCAGCCCCTGAGATATTGGAACATTGCTATCATGTCCCCCCTTGTCCTTCTCTTCATACCCAATTCCAGCAACCGTTCCTTATATGTTTTAGCCTCGAGTCCCTTAATCATCTTTGTTGCTCTTCTCTGCACTCTTTCTAGAGTCTCAACATCTTTTTTACATCGTGGTGACCAAAACTGGATGCAGTATTCCAAGTGTGGCCTTACCAAGGCATTGTTAAGTGGTATTAACACTTCACGTGATCTTGATTCTATCCCTCTGTTAATGCAGCCTAGCACTGTGTTGGCTTTTTTGGCAGCTGCAGCACACTGCTGGCTCATATTTAAGTGATTGTCCACTAGGACTCTGAGATCCCTCTCAGAGTTACTACTATTGAGCAAGGTACCCCCTATACTAGGCATGTCAAACTCGCGATGTCACGTGATGTCGCGTGATGTATCGGAGCTTTTTCTCCATTGCCGGCAATGAGGTGGGCGTGGTTTTGGGATAACGCGTCTGGCCCGCAGGCCGGTAGTTTGACACCCCTGCCCTATACTATACCTGTACATTTGATTTTTCTTGCCTAAATGTAGAATCTTACTTTTTTCACCATTGAATTTCATTTTGTTAGATAGCACCCAGTGTTCAAATCTGTCCAGATCCTTCTGTATCTTAAGCCTGTCTTCTGGAGTGTTGGCTATTCCTGCCAGTTACTTTATAAGTAACTCAAAGCAATCGCCCAGCTGTTTTTTCATGGCTAAAACAGGGCTAGAACTTAGAGTCTCCTGGTTTCTAGACCAGCACCCTTAAAAATATACAAAAATGTAGGGCAAGAGAAGATAACCTGCTTTGGACTATCCATTTAAAAGAATAGATAAATGAAGTAAACTGGGCTAAGTAAGACAACTGAAGACTTTTGCAATTAACAGTGCTTAGTTTGGATAGGCATTATTTATCAGTCCCTATAAAACTTGAAGGTAAATAAGCAACTTCTATTCTTATGAAACATTTCCTCTTTCTTTGAAATGCATATATGGCCACTAATAGACTGCTTAGCATAGTATTGCTTCCACGGGAGAAAGAGAACAACATGGTTTCTTCCCTATATGTTGAAAAATTCCCAGAATGTCATGACAGTTCATTGCATATGGGGGACTCTGAAATGTTTAAATTGACATGTATGTAAAGTATTAATGCTACTTATGTCTGGTCTATATTGAATGGGAAGCAAATTCATGAAGATAACAGAATAACAGAATTGGAAGGAATCTTAGAAGTCTTCTAATCCAGGAGTTCCCAAACCCCAGGCCATGGTCCACTACCAGGCTGCAGCCTGTTTCAAACTGGGCTACGTGAGTGATGGACAAGAACATGCACACAAAGTTCCATTGATGTGTGTGGTGAACAAACACTCATGCATGAAGCTCTACTTGTGCAACTGAAGGGAGCTGATGCTCATGGACGAAGCTCCACTTGCATGACCAGAGGGCACTTGCGTGCAAAGCTCCATTCACAGGAATGGAGCTTTGCGTGCAAGCACTTTCCACAAGCATGAGTGGAGTTTCATGCGCAAGCACAAGCACCCTCACTCACATGCAAAGCTCCATTCACTCGAGTGGAGGGTGCAGGCGCCCCCTGCTCACACCAATGAAGTTGTGCATGCGTGTATGCCTGCCACTCATATGTTCCCCCCATATGCCAGGCTGGGCTGCAAAAGTGGAAAGGTTGGGGACCACTATTCTAGACCAACCCCCTGCTCAAGCAGGAGACCCTATACCATTCTGGACAAATGGCTGTCCAATCTCTTCTTAAAACCTTCAGTGATGGGACACGCACAATTTCTGGAGACAAATAGTTGCATTGATTAATTGTTCTAACTTTCAGGAAATTTCTCCTTAGTTCTAGGTTGCTTCTCTCTTTGATTCGTTTCCATCCATTGCTTCTTGTCCTGCCTTCTGATACTTTGGAGAATAGGTTGACCCCCTCTTCTTTGTGACAACTCTTCAGATATTAAAAGACTTGCTTTCATGTCACCTCTAGTCCTTTTCATTAGACTAGACAGACCCAATTCCTGAAAGTATTCTTCATATGTTTTAGCCTTCAGCCCCCTAATCATCTTTGATGCTCTTCTCTGCACTCCTTCCAGTTTTGGCAACCAAGTATTCCAAGTGTGGTCTTATCAAGGCATTATAAAGTGATACTAACACTTCACATGATCTTGATTATTGATTGCAGAAAAAGATTGTAGAGAAAGGTCTGGACTATTCCAACATAATAGGTGATGCTAGGAATTTATGCATAAAAAAATTGTGTTCTGTTTTTCAGGTACAGTAAATTTATAAGACTTCTTTGGACTTCTGTTTTGATTATTACTATCATGTAGTAAATTTACCTGTCTTCGTCGACGCAATTTAGGAAGCCCAGGAGGAATGTGGTAGTTCAGTGCAGAAAATAAACACCCTGAAAGAAAAAAAATACATATCACATAATGGAGAAGGGTATCATCTATGAAAAAATAGGTAATCATATTTTCAGTTATTTAAACTGGGACAAAAGATGTGATCAGGCACAGTATAGTAATATATATACATATACTGACTTATAATCTTATGCTACCATCCTGATACAATTATACTGAAATATCTAGCATAACTACCTGATACCAATCTATGATATGATTTCTTCCAATGCATATCAGTTGAGATGCCTGAGAGAAGAAATCATCTGAATGCTCACCACCTATTGGAAGAAATATTTTTGTTGCATTCTATTCAAAACTCAAGATAGTTGTCATCTTCCTTTCAGAAAACATGTCTTAAGAATTACAGCTCACCATCAGAACTATTTATATCAGGTCTATTGGGTTCCTGAGACAGGTACTCATCTAAACCCATCTCCCTTCCCTGGTAAGAAAAAATCCTGCCAACAAATAATCAGCTACTTCCTTTCATGGAGCCTCAGTGTATGCAAAGCAGAGCTTCATTTCAGTTAACAGAAATCTTCTAGAAGAGTCTGTCCCTGAAGTTTTCCAAATTCCAGAGAGAAATCTCTATCACTGTGCACTCAAAGACATTTCAGACTGAATCTATTTATTGTCAAAGTCAAAGCACTCTGGCTACTGAAACACTACAGAGTCACAAATGTGAGATGGATGTTTACATAAATTGAATAAAATTAAAAATAAATAATAAAATAAAATAAATAAATAAAATCTATTCTCCACTTTAAATGCAGAAGACCTTCTTTCAGACTATGAAATACACTCTTTTGAAAATTTTATCATTTCTTTAAATAGGTTTTCAATTGTTATATGATCATGCTATCTATTTTATTAGGAAGTTTAATCTAGGTTTTTTATGTTTTTTAATTACCAAGGGAGTAATTAAAGTACATCCCAGGGGAAAAAAAGAAGGTGAAAATAAAACACACCAAGAAACAAATAAATAAACCAGGGGGAAAGACTGGCAATGAAATATTGAGGATGTATTTGTATCTCAGTACTCAACAGAAATTAAATCCAGCAGATTTGCATTATTATAGGCATAATTTATTGAGACTATAATTAAGAACAGAATTCCAAAAAATTAAAGGAATGCAGAGATAAAAGCTGGAAACTCATTTCCTCCAATTCCCAAATTACAAGATACAACATCTCTTGGTTGAAAGGCCTGTTTACCTGGTTCTGTGCAACCACGGGACATGCGAGGTACTGGTGTCTGGTAGATTTGGTGAGGAAGTGGCTCCTGCTGTAGGGGATTTAAAAAAGAAAAATATTGCCACAAGAAACATGTATTTCCACACATTGTATCAGGCAATACTTAATTCAGTTCAGTTTAATTAAAATGATCTGACCTGTTATTTACATAAAGTCCTTTACATTTGTACGAATGGATAGCAAGGCTGCCTATATCCAGTGGTGGGATTCAAATATGTAAAGAATTGGTTCTCTGTGTGGCTGCCACTTCTAGAAGTCCATTCTGGGCCTGGGCAACAAAAAATTAGCTACCAGTTCTGCCAAAGTGGTGCGAACCAGTTGAATCCCACCACTGCCTATATCCTTATGTCATAATTGTGCAATTTCATTCACTAAACTCCCTTTTCATGACCTTATAATTCCTTAATTAGAGTTTAGGTGACTGGATGAAGCTGAGCTTTTTTTCTTTGCACCCTAGAGAGAAACATCTGCCGCTACCTAGGACTGAACTTTCAACCTTCTGAATGCGAGGCAGAAGTCTCCACTACTAGGCCACCACTCCACTCATTGCAATTTTATTCACTCTTGAGTCTCAATGAAGGAGAATATTTGTAGCTCGGGGTTGAAATGAAGGGTTCTTGTTGCTCTCTGAGCTTGCTTGTTTTCTTGCAGACGTTTCATTACCCTAACTAGGTAACATCATCAGTGCTAGTAAGGAGTGCTGTTTGCTGTCTGTTTATATTCTGGGGTCTTGCCTGTCTGGGTGGTGGGGGCAGTCTTAGGGATTCTTTGGTTAGGCTGTTCACTAATGCCTCTGTAGCAGTTTCTTGATTGGGGAATTGCTTATTTGATTGTTGATCTGAACAACAGAGTTAGAGTTAATCTACGCTGATCTGAATGCTGATTACTGGAGGAGAAGTGCTGGAGTCTTTTTCTCTTTTGGGCTGGTTGATTGTCTCTTTTGCATAGTCTATAGATGTTGCTAATGTCTATGTGTCAATTGATGGCTGATTTGTCAGAATGCCAGACTTCTAGAAATTCCCTGGCATTTTGGGATTTGGCCTAGTCTAGGATTGTCACATTTTCCCAGCTGAAATTATGCTTAAATCTGTCTATATGTTGTGAAATTAAAGAATTTTCATCATGCCTTTTGACTGCCAGTTGGTATTCATGGATACATTCTGCCAGTCTTCTGCCTGTTTGTCCTACATAGCGGTTGTTGCAGTTCTTACATTGTATGTTGTTGATGACTCCTGTTTTTCCTTCTGGGGTTGCTGGGTCTTTGGGTTTACTTAAGATGTTTTGAAGGGCTTTAGTTGGCTTATGTGCTATGATGATTCCATGTGGTTGTAGTAGTCTATTTGCGGTTTCTGAGATATTCTTGATGTATGGCAGTGTAATTCTTTTTAGAGTTTGGGTTGGTTGTGCTATATTGGGTTGAGTGGTTAGGAACTTTTTGATGAAGTTGCGTGGGTATCCATTTTTTTGGAATGTGTTGTATAGATAGCTCCATTTCCTTTTTCTACTGTTCTGGATTGCTGCATTGAGTTTGGGCTCATTTAAATAAAGTCCTTACACAGCTTCTATTCTATAGAATTAAAATATAAACAGACAGCAAACAGCACTCCTTACTAGCATTAATGACATTACCTAGTTAGGATAATGAAATGTCTGCAAGAAAACAAGAAAGTTCAGAGAGCACCAAGGACCCCTCATTCTTGGGTCTATATTAAGATAATTTTTCAGACAATCTGTGAAGGTAGAATGAATCACAGAATAGGAAGGATCATGACAGCAAGCTTCTTCCTTTACATATGTCTATCTGAAGGCCTAAAGAAAATATTCTTACGTGTAAATATATTCATACTACGCGTAATCCAAACAAACAGGAATTTAAAATCACACCAAAGGATTCTTTCTTTTTAAAGTGCCTTTAATTCTTCAAATTTGTGTTGTTTGGAAAGATAACATAAATTGCTACCACAGTACCAATCTCTACACTGATATGTTCATTGCACTCTAATGTTGAGTTGAAAAGCGAAACATGAGGGTCAGTTCTAGTGTCCCATATAGCCATGGTAACAATGAAAGACTTTTTTTGTAATCTTTGTTCCACATAGTATCTTTGGCTTGCTTCAGAAGATGTCTCCAGAGGTATACTCTCATGCTGTATGCAGCAGCTAAGCTGATTTATTTTTGGGTCACTTGCTATCCTATCTAGAATTGGTCAAAGGCAATTTTTTCATTTGCACTGATAGAACTCTGAAGAATTCATAGGCATGCCATTTTCCATCAGTGAGAATGTACCTCACCTTGACTCTAAGGTCCTGAGCAAAAACCAAATTGTCCCTGCTTCACTGAGAGGTTCTCATAGAGTAAAAGGAGCTTTATATCCTCCACTCTAATAGCAACAACTTTTTTTTTCTTTACATCACCAAGCTTATGAGTGCAACCTGCTTGAATGCAATTAACCCAAGCCTTCTAGTGCAGGGCTTTTCAACCAGTGGTACGCATATCACCGGTGGTACTTTGGCACCTAGCAGGTGGTACGCAACCATCCTAGAGAAGTGATAGCGGGGAGGGAGAGGAATGAGCTGAAGCGGCGGCAGTGCCACACAAGCCTGAGGGACAGACAGATGGAGCTGCAGGGCTGTTGGGGCTCAGCAGAAGCCCCAGGGTCAGTGCTGGGCTCCAGCTGATCGATGCTTCTGGAAGCTGGAGGTGCCCTGAAGTGAAAAGGAGGAGGAGGGGGGAAAGAGGAGAGGATATAAAAAGAGGTTTTGGTGGGAAAGGGCCAGCCAGGGACTGCCCCCCCCCGGGTGTGCGAAGAGGAGGCAGCGAGCGCCCGGCATCCCTGCTGACCATCCCTGCTGACCACTGAGAAAGAAAAAAGGCAAGAGAAGTGCTTCCCTTTCCCCCAGGGTGGAAGCTGAGGGGCACAGGGCACGATGCTATCGGCGGCACGTTGAGAAAAAGAAACAAGTATTCAAAAAAAAAACCCCAGCTTTCATTAGTTTGCAGCCTGCTATCTCAGAAGGTCTCTGTTGAGGGTATGGGGCTGCCAGAGGTGACATCCCCTCCAGCCCATGCGCACGCGCACACACACACACATACACACACACAAACAAATGCACAGGTCTGGGAAAGGTGAGGTGAGAGCCACACAGAGGCAATGACAGGGGGAAGGGGTCAAAATGTGAAGTCTCTGCCCATCACTGCCTGTCTGCTGCCACCTCTGCCCAGAGCCTCCAGTAATTTTTAAAAAAAAGCAGGGGAGGAAGGAAGGAGGGAGGAGGGAGGGAGGGACAAGGAGAGGCAACTTGGTTGGAAATGCCCCAGTTCGAAGGAGAACGCAATTTTGTGTTCTGTTTTGTCACAGACAGAACTTTGTTGGCAATCCAAATTAACTTTGGTATTCTTGAATTGTAAACTCTTAGGAAAGTATCCCCTCCTTGTGTGTTGCTAACAGCCATTTCCAGTGGGGAAAATAGGACAACGCAGAGTGGGTGGGGGGAATATTTTCCTTTGCTATATTTCCAGTCTCAGTTAGACCAAGGCAGGGTCCCTACAAGAGAGCCCTTTTAAGGATTATGTATTAATAGAAAAGCAACTAAGCTACTTCTGTTCCAGCTAAAGCTGTGGCACATAAAAAACGGAGGAGCTCTGATCAACGATCACAGCCACTATTTTGACAGTTTTGATGTACTGTTGTCTATGGACACCCCCACTAAATGCAAGCATGGGATAAACTGAGCCTGATTTGTTCTCAATCTTTTAAGTAGCCACAAACTACTAGCAAAAGTGGCATTTGATCACAAGACAGGAGGCATTGAGAAATGTTCCCCTTTTTGCATTTGAGCATCCAAGAAGGGACAGGAAAGGAGACAGGGAAAGAGGAAAGACAAAGAAAAAAGAAGGAAAGAGGGGAAGAGAGCAAGGAAGGAAAAAGGAAGAAAGGGGGGAAGGAAGAAAAAGGAAAGGAGAATGAAGAGGAAAGGAAAAAGAAGAAAAGAGGAAGGAAGGAAGGAAGGAAGGAAGGAAGGAAGGAAGGAAGGAAGGAAGGAAGGAAGGAAGGAAGGAAGGAAGGAAGGAAGGAAGGAAGGAAGGAAGGAGATTATAATGAGAGGGAGGGGGATCTGAGGGAAGTCCTGCTTTAGCACTTGGCCAGGACCAGCCCTGCTGCCGTTTTGCCATCCCCTTGTCCCCTCCTCCTGACTCTCCTGGTGGTCTCCCATCCTATCGCTGAGGATACTTTGGTTACAAAGCACAGAGAGGAGTGGGCCTCCCTCTGATCCACACATTTTGTCCTCCCACACACACCATGAGCAACCTGGCCAAGGAGAGCGAGTCAAGCAGCAACAGCCTCAGGAGAAGGTAAGCCCAGCCGGTCACCCCCTTGGGAAAGGCTGGGCTGAGCTGGGCACTTGCCCTCCACTGCCCAGGGCTCTGGGCAGCCTGCACCGCCAGGGGTCCCCCGCATGGCTTGAGAGCAAAGGAACCGCCACTGAAGAAATTAAAACCGGTACTTTTTCCTTTTTTTTACGGTTTGTAACATTTTATTAGATTATGGAATAAAATACTAGAATACAAAAGCAAATAGTAGGATACAGTAGGGAGGAAGAAGGGGAAAAAAGTGAGGGGAAGAAGGGAAAAAGAAAAGGCATTGACTTCCGACTTCCTCTGTTGCAGTAGAATGAAGCATTAACATCGAACCTTAACTTTTTACTTTTCCATAATAGTATAAATTAGCCATTTCTATAACAACAAATAAATCCAATCAGTAAAACCCAAAATCCCCCCCCCCTTTTTTTTTTTAGTCATCAAGTTTTTGACACCTTGCTAAGCACTGGTGGTACTCAAATATTGTTATGTCCTAAAAGTGATACAATCTGTGAAAAGGTTGAAAAGCCCTGGTCTAAAGGACAACTGATAGGAAGAACTGATTGGCTCATGCTGTGTTCAGCATTTTGAATTCAGTAGAAGTGAAAATTACTGCAAATCAGCTCCAGGCTGCTTTTGAAGGACTGGGGAATAGAATCCATAGTGGTGTAGAAAGGTCCCTATTAGCAATTAATCACCTCTTTCTCTGGCCATCTCCTCTTAGCTCTGCTCTCTGAATTTCTCCACATCAGACAGCACTTATTTTTTTTAATCACACAGTGGGAAATTGCTTTTTTTTCCCTTTTCCTTTTTATGTTTCTCTGTGTACAAGAAAGATTGCTACTGCCTCATTTTTCTACAATCCCACTTTTCAGACTTCCCCTCTATGTATGACATACCTTTCAATTTTCAGTATTCCATCCCTTAGCTAATTTCTTCCTCCCCCCACCCACCACATTGGTCTCTGCCTGCCACGCTACTCCATTACATCTATACTACATAGCATTATTTTATTTTTCAGAACCTCATAGATCCATTTGCAACAAACTGCATCAAATTACAACTACTGTCACATATTCTGACAGCTCTTCAAGGTCTTAAGTCTTCCTGATCATTCATAAATCTTTTAACATGGGTGACAGGGAAAGAATGTGGAATATCCACATATAAAGCAAATGTTCTGCTACAAAGCTCTCTTTGATTGTTCTCTTGTCTTTTTTTCAACTATCCATGTATATGTGCATTTCCATCCACCAGTCTCTAATTTTTCTAGCTTTATAGTTAGTCCTCGATTTAGGACCACAATTGAGCCCAACATTTCTGTTGCTACATGAGACATTTGTAAAATAATTTTTGCCACATTTTACAACTATTCTTGCCACAGTTGTTAAGTGAATCACTGCAATTGCTAAGATAGTAACATGATTGTTAAGTGAATGTGGTGAGCTGCCAAAAGTCTGAATTTTGATAATGTGACCATTAAAATGCTGCAGTGGTCGTAAGTATGAAAAATGGTCATTTTTTTTCAGTGATGTTGTAAATTCTAACGGTCACTAAATGAACTGTTGAGGACTATCTGTATTTTTCTTTGGCTCTTTTTTCTTTCTCTGTCATGTCTCTCAGTTACAATATTTACTATTCCCTTCCCTTCTACATTCCTTATTGGCGAGTGGCTTGAAGCCAGCCTGCCTACCTCAGAATCCTAAAGGCGTCCCAAGATGAACTTTTTATTCCAAATGGCACCAATTCTAACCTCAGACCAAGGAACTGGGTTACTTATCATTTCCCAATTGTCTCTACCATCCTGTTTGATCCAGCAAGAGGGGCATGCTCTGGATACTGTCAGCTAAGATGTTGCCCAATGGGGTCCATTTCTACTATGGGTCTCGCCCTTTGAAATATCATTCCCCTTGAGATTAGATTGGCCTCCATCCTTGTGCCCTTCCATAAGGACTTGAAAACTTAGTTTTGTGCCCAGGACCAGGACCCTACACATGTGACATTTTTCATTTTTATTTTTTCATATGTATTTTATTGCAAAGGTATTTTATTACCTTGAGTTACCTATGTTAGATGGGCAGTTATATAAATTGAATAAATAAATTCAAGCAGGAATGGCTCCATTATAAAAATCACAGCCAAGGTAAATTCAGACATGTGGAATGTTTTCTGGGAAAAGAGTTAAAGGATAAATTTAAAATAATAAATTAAATGTCTTAGGTACTAATAATAACCTCCACCGTTTTATGTTCAAGTATAGCAAAATATCTAGGTAGTGGTTAGCAGTTGGGAAAATAAGTGGAAAAGAATGAGGGAATGCACTACTAAAAGTTGTTTATTATTATTATTATTATTATTATTATTATTATTATTATTATTATTATTATTATTATTATTATTATTATATTTTTGCTTATGTTTATCTTCTACTTTGTTTTTTGTATTCTTTATTCTTCTGTTATTTCTCTTTATATTATCTGGAAAAGCTTATATAATAAAAAAAAACTTTTAAAAATTCTAAGGGTATGGGTAGAAACAAACAAAAACACCCCTAGAAGTCAATCAGGGCTTCATCCTGAACTACCATTTGATCCATTTAAAATCCTTTCACCTCTGCTCCACACAAAGGAGAAAGGAAATAACTGCTAGCATCACTACCCGTGTTCTTGCTCTCGTTTTATGTTCAGTTGTGTGCAAAACTACCCCTGTGATGTGGTACGAAAGCCACAAAGCTACTAAGCCATCTTCTCTCTTAAAGGACCTGTGAATTAATTGCATCCACATATAGCGCAGGAATAATCAAAGGGCGGAAGCAAAAATACCATTATGAGAGATCAAAGTATTTACATGTTCTAGATATCTGAAACTTTGCAGAAGAAAACATCAGCTTTGCCCCAATTTTGGTATAAAGCCAAAAGAAGCATGAGTCAGTTCTCTCTTAGCCAATATTGTGAGATCTCACAGTTTTTGAACTGTTTCTAGACTGATGAAAAGATTTTCTATAGAAGTGCCATGTGCACCAAAGTGTTACTGTTATTCAAGACTGAAGAACACCCTGTTCGTGCTTAAAAATTGTTTCTTTCTTACTGGTTCATCTATTAAAATATTAAAACATCCTAAGCTGAAAATTAGTTTCTTCCTCCTATGTTAAGTTGAAGTTTATGTTTATGTTATCTCAATTTCTTTTTCCTCTAATACTTTTTGAGCAAAATATTGTAAGTTTCCCCAACCATGTTTTTCATCTAGCAATCTCTAAAATGATTGTTTGGAATAAAGCAATAGTAAAACATCTATGCAAATTGGGGCAGATAAGAAGTAAAAAGATAGAGGAAGCAGTTTCTCTGAAAAACAAAACAAAACATGGAATCTCTTTTCCTTTGCTACTATGGTAACAACATTCAAAGGAAGCACCCTGGGAAACTCCTTATCCAGGCTTTTACAAAAGAATGGCTGCTGGAAATACATTAGGCCAACTTGTGGGGAGAAGCAGATTTAGAAGTTGCCTAAGCCATTTAGCACCATAGAAAATGATCCCAATTTCTTTGGAGCCAGATATGATATAGCTCTGTATTGGAGAATTTTTAGAATCTGAATATGATATTTTCTTTAGCAATTTCTGGAAGATTTGCAGCCATAATAGCCTCCCTATCCCTTAGGGAGAAAGAAAGGCACATTTTGAAATCAATACATTGATTATAGTATACAGCAAAACGTGTTGAGAAAAATAAAACACACGGCAATTTCTTGATAAAGGTTGGAGTTAATTAGCCCTGCATGGGTCTGGCCTTGCAGTTTTAAAGGTGGCATTTTTCTTTCTTTCTGTTACCATGCCAAGAAAGCCTAAATAGAATTTATGTGTATTATTCTTATATGTCACTATTGGTCAAAGCAACTGTGCATCTTGTAATGGTTATCTTTTATCCTAGGAACAATCTAGTGATGTTGGTTGGACAATTGTTGCCGATATCCTTCAAGTGAGCTTTCTGGCTGAAGAGAAATTTGAATCCAGGCCTCTGCAATTCAGTGCCAGTAATTTTGCCCAGACACCTCACTTTGACACTGATCCTGTCTTAGAACAGACTCCCAATATCTACAAAAGTTTACGGGAGGGAAGGGAGCCAACACGAACTTCCTTTCACCTCTGGGGATGAAACACAAGTGAGGTATCTCCATGGCAGTGATGGAATTACAGCCCGGGCCAGGCTTTCCTTACCGCTTGATGTTCAAGTGAATCATGAGGCTTCAAGAGGTACGCATCTTTTCCATCAGAGAAAACACCGCTGAAGAAGTGCAAAGAAATACGAAGAGGTTACATAAAACACTAAAGCAACTATATTTACATTAGGAGGGAAAAAATTAAGAAACAATATTCAAGCAGACATCAATAACTTCCTTAGGACAAAGTTGCAGGTTTCTAAACAGTTGCATCTTAAGCATTTCCATGAAGCAATCATAGTAGACATTTCTTACTCTCACTCAAGGAAATAAAAACAGAATATGGACCAAGAAATGTCTATGTGCAGATTACAACCCCGTAAGAATTACTAGGAAATATGATTACCAGGTGCTAAACTGGCCTTCAATGTCGTAGAAACCACAGTTACAGCATGTTGACATCACCCCCAAACCCACTCAGCACTGGAGTAGCAACTTTAATCTAGTTTCTGATTGATCAGAATTATTATTTTACAAATATTTATGATCAGAATTATTATTTTTAAATGTCTAAATTAATTCTTCATCTATAAAAGATACTAACATCTCCAACAGCCAATTAAAAAAAAATACAACACATCCACAGTGACTTTGCCTTGATGGAAACCGGGCTTTCTTTGCCACGTTTCCTTTTCCTATTTCACAGTTCCTTACTTACTGTAGGCCATGGCAGGTAGATAAAGCCACAAAAGAGTTTGCTTCTCCACGGAGATTGCCTTGATAGTAACAGTGCTCACTTGTTCCCTAAAAGAGATGTAAAAACATCGTGTTTTCTTTTATCTGCTTAAATTCTTCTAATGCAAATTGGCTCGTTCTTCAATACAAGAAGCAAAAATAAGCAACCAACTAGCAAGGATAAATCAAACCTTCCCTACCACAGCACTATCATTCAGATTCTCTATGCTACTCCAGAAGCAAGAAGGGAGTATTTAGAAAATAGTCATTGATATTATCACTCATTCAAAAGATGGGTAGAATAAAGTACGTGCAGTCAGTTTATTGGAGGATGAGAGAAACAGAGTATCCAACAGAGCAGGAAAGATGGGAACATTCTTTTTGAGAAAAAATAAAGAAAGAAGTTTAACTACAAGTTTAAGGACTTAAAAACTATTGAAAACAAGGAGCCAAAGCATTATTTAGAAACTTACAAATGAACTAAGAGTCCAGATAAATTTGAAATAAGAGTTTGGAATTAATTATTAAAAAAATTTCCCCTAGGAAAATATTTTTGTTTTAAATTTTTTTAAAAACGTAAGATTTTAAAAAAATGGACACTAAATAAACTAGAAGCAAATAAGATTACAATTAAAGGAGAAGAACACTTAAATTTGACTTACAAATACAGTAGAATAGAGCAAAATATTTTAACATTGGACATATTGAAGGATATTTTTAAACAATGGACCCATAAGTTAATTTAACAATGACTGCCTCTATAAATAGACTTTATTTAAAAGATGTTATAGGAGGAACAAGTTTTATCAGACAATACTGAGATCAATTTGAAAGTGGGTTTAAAAATAACAGGCTATAAGAATGAATGGAAAAAAGATGTTACATGGACATATAAAAGAAACTAGTTGATGTCTTCATAATTAAAAGGGATATACAAATAACAAACCAAGAGAGTAAGCAAGATAAATATTTTATGAAGGTTTCAAAAATTTTATGAGAGAGAACAAAGAAAAAAATGAAAAGAAATAAACTTCTAGGGCACTATTTGAAGTGACTAAACATCAGAAAGATAGAAATAAAAGTTATTGGGGGTGCTAGACGTATACGACCTGGGTTTGAGACCCGAGTCCTGCATGACGGGTGACTCCCATTATTTGCCCCAGCTCTTGCCCACCTGGCAGTTTGAAAGCATGCAAATGCAAGTAGATAAATAGATACCACTTTGGTGAGGAGGTAACAGCGTTCTGTGCACCTCAGTATATAGTCATGATCACAGAAATGTTTTAAGATTACACTGGCTCCCTCGGCTAAGAAACGGAGATAAGCACTGCCCCCCCCCAAGAATCAGATATGACTGGGACAGGAGAAATCTTTACCTTTAATAAGTTATTAAAATTGTTTATGCTTGTGATAAAGAGGGAAGTCATTCCTTTCTATATATTTTTTTTCTTTAATATATTCTTATTTTTTTCTTTTCTGTTTTTCTATGTTTTTGTATCTAATTTTTTTCCTTTTTTAGTTTGCAGTTTTTCTGTTACTCTAATTTTTAATAAAATTACTATGAAAATAAGCAATAAACTGGACTTGAGGCTTTCCAAATGCAAATGGGTACGCTTTGCTATTTGATAATGGCTCCTCCTGGGGATAAGGTAAACAAATTTATTGACTTACATTTTGTTATATCAGAGTTGTGTGAGTGTTCAGTTGTATTTTTCTGGCATTAGGTTTAGTTTTTTAAAATTATTTTTAAAAGATCATACCTTTGCTTTTTTGCATGCTACTATTTTAGATAGCTTTTTTTTCAGAACTTGCTCTAACATAATTAAAAGAAATTGGGTTTTTTTAAAAATTAAATTATCATTATTTGGATGTAACATTATTACAGCAGCAGAGGTGTAGATGTAATATGTGGTTTGTCCTTTAGTACAGGGCTTTTCAACCTTTTCACCCATTGTACCACTTTTAGGATATGGCAACATCCAAGTACCACCAGTCGCCTAGCAAGGTGTCAAAAACTTGATGACAAAAAAAAAAAAGGAAAAAAGTGATAAAAGTACAGGTAGTCCTCGACTTACAACAGTTCGCTTAGTGACTGTTTGAAGTTACAATGGCACTGAAAAAAGTGCCCCCCAAGTCAGAGCCGAGCAAGATGCCTGCCTGCCCTCCCAGCGGTGCTCTTCCTCCTGTCCAAGGTTTTTATTGTTGTGAGCATTTCTGTTGAGGATTGGCAGTGGGGGTGGGGTGGGGAGGGTGTTTGGTTTTTATTCCCCCCGTCTGCTGGATGGTTGCAGCAGGTTTTGGTCACTTCACATGACCCTGGGACACTGTGACCGTCATAAATATGAATCAGTTGCCAAGCATCTGAATGTAAATCACAAGACCCTGGAGATGCTGCAACATTCCAGCTGATTGGTGCTTCTTCAGGGCTCAGCAGAAGCACCAGGATCAGTACCGAGCTCCAGATGGAGCCTGGCGCTGATCCTGGCACTTCCATAGAGCCCTGGCAGCCCCGAAGAAGCGCCGATCAGCTGGAAAGCGGCACTGATCCTGGCGCTTCCGCTGAGCCCTGACAGCCCTGCAGCTCCAGACATCTCTCGCTCAGGCTTGTGCGGTGCTGCCACCGGTTCAGCTCATTCCCCTTCCCCGCTACCACTTTTCTAGGATGGTCACATACCACCTGCCAGGTGCCAATGTACCACAGGTGGTACCCGTACCACTGGTTGAAAAGCCCTGCTTTAGTATATGCTAAATAAACTTCAAATTAATGGGGAGATAACAGAAGATATGATTATCATATGTAGAGGTACAAACTACACAGACATCAGGCAGAGGACTAAGGAAATTAGCTAGTCTTCTGAAATTATGGTGAAAAAGCTGAAAGGAGAAGATTACAGAAACCAAGGCAAGAGATGACCAGAGAATAAATCAGAATGTATGCACACAGACAGACTCTCATAAGACTTTCCACCACTTTCCACTCTCCAAATATGGATTCCAGATGTTCTAGCTTTCTACCATTCAGTACCCTCCAGATATGTTAGACTATGACTGCTATCATACTCAGCACTACTTAATTTTAATAGGAACAATAGTTCAACATAGTTGGAGAGTGACAGAGGGCCAAGTGTTATCTTTCAGGAATAACTTGGTGATTTGGAATGTACAGCTCAAAGAAGCATGGCATTTAAAATGTAAAGTCGGTGTGGATAATCCTGCACTTGAACAATAACAACAGCAATGAACAGTAATCGATACTTGAAATGACATTGGCACATCAATACCCAGCTATACCCTCTGTGTAGAGGCATGCCTGTCTGCTGACCTTCTTTCGCCTGCTTATGTCTTTCTATGAAACAATTCACAAGTGTCCCTGCACTGCCTATTGTGTTCAAGGTTGTTGCAGTATGATAGGCATGAGCAAGCAGCCACCTCCCTCTCATGTCTATTTATAGAAAACAGCATGGTTCAGGTTAGCTCAGAGAAGAATGGGGAAAGCCATCGCTCCTGGCAAAGCAGGGAAATAAAATGGATGGACTCAAGGATTGGCTGCAGCTGCTTGGGAGGCTGTGTGTGACCAACCACTTAGCAAGCACTTAGTATTATTGATGCTCTACTTATGAGGCTTCCTTTTGTAGGGAGAACAGGGCTATTTCTGGATCATCCATTCATTCTTTTTCAGACTCAGCATCTCCCATCTACATCTTTGCTCTGGCAGCTGCAAAGTACAACCAGCATTCCTCCCATCCACAATCTTCCCGCTGCCCCACCCAGCTAGTTTTTTCATGTTTAATAGATCAGAGAATTAGCCTGAAATAAATACAGGTCAAGGTCTTGTGACAACGTTCTCTCTCAATCATTCAATCAATCTCTCTCCTGGTGCACTCTACGCTTATTTAAATATTAAGTCAAACAATATAGATATAGATCTTTAGTTTCCTTACCATGGTGTGGCTGGCATTTCCATCATGTCCAAAATGACGTTCCACATAATTTAAGGACAGCAGATGGCTGACGGGAGAAAAAAAATATTGAAAGTTATATAAACACTTTCATCAATGTTTGACATCAAATCTGCCTCATATTCTCCTGTTTTCCTAATCCATTCTTATAAAATTAACAGGACTGAGGACACCAAAACCTTTGTCATTTCTTCTGTGTGACTGATCCTATCCCTGTTTACTCACTCTCCTTTGCTTAGTATGACTGCTCTAAACTACCCTCTAGTTGACAGTCATGCCAGTTGTATGGGTGCATGTGATGAGAAATTTCTTGAATGACTATTGTGTTGAGGGCTTTATCATACAAAGAATGTGCTACATTATGAGTTCTCTGGACGTGCATGAACAAATTCTTGCTGTTGGTCTAAATCAGGGCTTTTCAACCTTTTCACCCATTGTACCACTTTTAGGATATGGCAACATCCGAGTACCACCAGTCGCCTAGCAAGGTGTCAAAAACCTGATGACCAAAAAAGAAAAAAGAAAAAAGTGATAAAGTACAGGTAGTCCTCGACTTACAACAGTTCGCTTAGTGACTGTTTGAAGTTACAATGGCACTGAAAAAAGTGCCCCCCAAGCCACAGCTGAGCAAGACACCTGCCTGCCCGCCTGGTGGCGCTCTTCCTTCTGTCCGAGGTTTTCATTGTTGTATTTCTGTGGAGGATTGGCAGAAGGAGTGGAGTGGGGAGGGTGTTTGGTTTTTATTTCCCCCATCTGCTGGGTGGTTGCAGCAGGTTTTGGTCACTTCACATGACCCTGGGACACTGTGACCATCATAAATATGAATCAGTTGCCAAGCATCTGAATGTAAATCACAAGACCCTGGAGATGCTGCAACATTCCAGCTGATTGGTGCTTCTTCAGGGCTCAGCAGAAGCACCAGGATCAGCACCGAGCTCCAGCTGGAGCCTGGTGCTAATCCTGGCGCTTCCACTGAGCCCTGACAGCCCCGAAGAAGTGCCGATCAGCTGGAAAGCGGCGCTGATCCTGGCGCTTCCGCTGAGCCCTGAAAGCCCTGCAGCTCCACCTATCTCTCGCTCAGGCTTGTGCGGTGCTGCCACCGGTTCAGCTCATTCCCCTCCCCCGCTACTTTTCTAGGATGGTCGCGTACCACCTGCCAGGTGCCAATGTACCACAGGTGGTACCCGTACCACTGGTTGAAAAGCCCTGGTCTAAATGATTCCTACATTGTGTTACTTCTAGGATCTCGTAGCTTAGATTCTGAAGACAGACCTTCTCTGCAAAGACTTGCCTCAGAAGATTCCTTGGGTGAAAAAGCAATGGATGCCAGCAACCAGAATTCATTGCTTGGCCAATCTAGATTGGGAAATAGCAAAGCTTGCCTTTCCTCAATACAGATATGTGGATCTCATGATTGAAATCCATCCATCTGCAGCATTCCACAAACATTCTTCCCAGATGCACTATAATTATTTATCCTAGACTTGTTCAAGCTTTTTAACTATTTTATTTGGAAGAGCTGTACACTCATAAAAAGGATCTTCAAACTCCCTAGAAAACGGGGGGAAAGGCTCAATGTAACCCAGCAGCTGTTAGTCCCTGGCAAATACCTCTGCATACTTCTCTTCAGTTCTGTGGTCCCCAGGCAAATTCCAACACTGAAAATGAACACTGAGCTTTGCTCAGGTCATTTTTCAGGGCATCTGGACTCCTGGGTAAAAGCCGGCGCAGTCTAAGGGTGAAACTCAGTTACCTAACCTGCTCATTTACCACACCATATCTAGTTACAGACTAAGACTCATCATCAGCAACCTCATCTTACAGTGATCTAGTGCCTCACCCTGAACTTAATTTATTTTCAGGATAGAGCAGGAAGAACAGAAATGTTTCCAGATGCCTTATTAAATATTCAGAGGCACTCACCTAATCATACCTTTCAGACATAGTGCTTCAAACTATATTCATCCCAGATATATATTTACACATAATTTAGGAGCTAGTATGAAAAAAAGCCAAATATCTTTACAATATTGTATGATTCATATAATAAAAAAAATCACTGCATGAAAAAAAAATCTCTGGTTTCTCATAGCCACACTTTACTTATATCCTATTTAAACTTGCAATATGTACATAGAAGCTCATATATTGATATACATTATGCACATAATCATACTTTCAGGAGCCCCCTGAAGTTAGTTAGTAAATTTAAACTAGTAATAATAAATGTACAAACACTGGGAATTGAGTGGAATTAATTATGACTATAATCACAAGCACAAAATGAGCAAATTTATGCCAAATATGGTGTCATAGTCAATCGTTTGCTTGCATTGTTTCACATGTGTGCACCTGCACCCACACATTAAAAAAACCTCTGACAATTACTGATGGAATACTGTAAAATAGTTTCTGAGATAGAGGGAACTGAAATTTGAGTACAGCATAAGCAATAAAGCTGTTTTTCATTGACAAGACAAGTGTAGTGTCACTAAGCAAGTACAGAGTGACTTTCTCTCATTGTTATATAATTATAACGTCTCTGAATTCATCAGAGACGAAGAGCAAGGCATATGCAGGAGATACATACTTCAGTACTGAAACACCTTTTTAGAAATTAAACACAGTGTTGCCCCTTCCATATCTCAATATTTTAATTAGCACAATTATCAATATATATAAATTAAATCAAATCTCTATTACAGCCATAGACCAGCATATTCAATACATATAGAACATTGTCTGGAACTAAAATCTCCATTTTCACTTTTTTTTAGCTATGTTCATAATTGTTTAATAAAAGCAGATGGGATAGAGCTGGTATGACTGCAGTGGCCCTTTCCACTCATAACAAGCATTTAGTCTTATAACACAAACATATGCATACCCACCTACATAAACAAACAGGAAGACAAGCACATCTCCTTACACATTTGCTGCACATATCTTGGCTTGCCATCAGAAATACAAAATCAACACACTGTAACTCCTATCCTGTCACACTCTGTCACAACCATATGTTAAGAAAAAGTACACACCCACATACATGCTTGTGAATTTGCCTATTACTACCTTAGCTTTTGCCAATAGAGTAGCCCTAAATTTCAGTTCTAATAACTCCCACCCAATATGCCCACAAGATATTTGAGAATTAAGAGTGTTGGAAATCTACACATTGGAAGACACCACATTGGGAGAGACTGATATATACAAGGACTCCCATGTTGAAAATTTCACATCTCCCATACTGCAATCCATTCATGAGATCTTGGTCTCTTCTTTTGGAGAGAAGAACATGGTGTATAATCTAAGTTAAAACACTGCTTCTTCCATATGCAGTTTTTTAAAACAAATATCTGAACTGAGATAACAGTGTTGTTCAATCTCATTATTGTTTATTAACAAATTAAAACAAATTAAAACAAATCATTGCACTCTAAATGATCACTATGAGATAGAGTCTGTAATAATTTAACATATTTGTAGATAATTACAGACTATCTCCTGCCTGAAAAGGAGATTACATTTTTCTATTATTTTGTCTACTCTTATATATGTAAATCTGCTACTTGACATAAGTATCTCACAGCTGATGAAAATTTATACCTTAATATATTAATTCCTCTTTAAGGTATCATGGGATTAAAATATTCAAAAACCTGCCCAAATAACTATTGTTCCATTATCTATCTATATCTGTCTGTCTGTCTGTCCATTTTTCTATCATGTATCTATTATTAGAAGTTTTGCAAAGAACTTAAAAGCTAACACAAACTAATAAAGAGTAAAAGAAGAAAAAAGAAAAAGAAGAAAAAAGAGGAAAATGTGCATAAAGAGAAAACCAAAAGAAATAGAAAGAAGCTTCCAATTTCCTCTGCAGCTGATATAAATACAGTAACAATATTCTCTTACTCTATGATTCCAAAAAAGCTAATGTTTTTCTATTATCCAGTTCTTTCTAATCATCAAAACCACAAATCAAGAATGCATTTTTTCTGTTTCATGCAAAAAGTCTCTAAGGGGCTACCAGACAGTCATTAATATAGGTATTTTTTGTGTAATCAAAGAGATTAATTTATCAATTTCTGTTTATTTATATGCCTGAAGAATCATTTGAATGAAATATATTTTGTATGATTAGATCCAGCTAATTCAACTTACTGTTTATACATTTGGGGAAGGACAGGTTCACATGAATTTCTTGCAATTTGCCCAAGCAGAGATATACTTCTCCTGAATATTTTGCTATTAGAACTAAGACTCATTGATGAACTTATCCATCATAAATTGGCTATCACTTTTTAATAGACATTAGATATAGTGAATCACACAGGTGATTCTTCTTGGCTTACAGAATTAAAAAAAACCCACAGCAAAATAAACAAATGGATCAGATTAAACTATAAAAACATACATAACCTGCAGCTTTTACAATAATTGTTTACTATTTCAATTTGATGAAAATTGCTGACAGTATACCTTTTGTTATCTTACTTAACTGGTTGTTACACTGGACATGTGGAATGGACAGTTTGATAACAATTTACTAAACATGCCACAATGGCTTATGCTATAATCCATGATTTATAAATCACAACAGCTGGGACCACCTATATTTGAAACCTAAACCTAACAAAATATTTAGGGTTTAGCATGGTGTATTAACCCAGTTACTCAGTTTTCCATAACAGAGTTCCTAAGAGTCTATTTTCTCTGTGATCAGAATCCATTTTTTTTTAAAAAGGATGTTGAGACCATTATGGTAGTGAACAGATGCACCTTACAGAATGACAAGATTTCCTATGTGACTTTGAGCAATCTGGGGCTCTGTCCACTATAAGTCCTGCTATCACATATAAACATAAAACACACATACACTATCTAGCCAGCATTATTTATTCTGGCATTATACATTTTGATAGCAAATCTCTAACATTTCAGGTTTTTTACAATTCTGCTATTCAATATTCTTAATCCTTTTACACGAAAGCATTTTATGGTGTATGTTGAAAATATACACCGAAATATTCTCTATTGTACCATAAAAAGCAGTTTATCATAAAGAAGAATCCTAGTTTAGTATTGACATAACTTTCTATGGACAAGATTTATTTCTTTTTTAAATGTGGACATCTTTTACTACTTCCTTATTTATTCTTTGTAATTTTCTATTTCCTCAAGATTTAGAGTTCTATATATAATTTTGCTGAATATATTTTTTGTCTCCAATTATCAGAAAGGCTCCAACCAACCACTCTTTCCCCTTCCTTTATTATCCAATCAAAAATGGAATCTTATATTTGAATCACAAGAACAATCATTTTGGCAGTAAATACTTACTGGTTCAGTTCAAGGTCCAAAGTGAAGGTTAAACCAAAGGCAGGGATGAGGAAACTCACTTGGGCCAGATGGATAACCTAAAAGGACAAAAACAAATTAAGGCAGAGCCTTCTTTGACTTTTGCCTTCATTTGCAGTGATATCAAATAAGCATATTGCGCACTAAGTGTGACAGAGTTGTTCTGCAACTGTTTATGCAACCAACTGTGATCACACATATTTCCTCTTAAACTTAATTCTCCTCTCCTTTCTATCCTTTCATGTGCATACAGTGACAAATTAATTTATTGCAATCATCACATATATAGGACAAAAGACACAAATGCCTTTATAAAAATACAGAATACCCCATCATTTAATTTAAATTCACAACCATAATACCCAATACATCTGATATTAAAGAGAAGAATATTGAATTAATACTTATTAGGAACCACCTTTCTTGCTCAAAATGATTCTGCCTGTCCTGTGATGTCAACTAAAGAAAGACTCCTTTGGCTCCTGTTCTGTTGTGAGATATGTGGGCAAGAAGCTGGTCTCTAAAGCAGTGGCCTCCCTGATGTACAATATGTGGCCCACAGAGGTGACTGTGCCTGGCATTGAAAAGGCACCGAAGAACGTCATTCTCAGCAGGATTTGCTGACTGAGGGTCATTGGGAACCATTTGTGGTTTTGTTCTGAGGGCTAAGAGCTGTGGTTTGGAGTACATTTCATGCTCAATGTTTTTATTTTGTCAAGTGCCCAGAATCTATATGAGGGAGTGATATAAAAACTTTGAAGGGAGGGAAGGAGAAAGGATCTCATAGGGCAACTTTTCCTCAGGTATGCCTTTCATTATGCTTTTTCAATTGTGTCATGCTCCAGCCTGAGGATGAACTAGGAACAAGGAACCACTGGGGTAGCTGCAGTCCCAAGGGTCGATGCTGTGTGCCTGTACAGTAGGAGAAAATGGATCGTGATGGAACAAAGCAAAATGAATCTTGCCCTGGTTAAAATCACACCTTTAACCTGTGGCAAAGATGGCATGAGGACAATCAGAAATTGCATGTTGCCCTGATTAATTGTAGATTGCCCTGGTTTCACAGGCGCAGGGAGTATAAGTGAGAGTCAGAAGAGCACACAGCTCCAAGCTCTTCAAACTTCAGGAGCCTGGGGAAAAGGTGTCTCCACCTGTTTCACCTCTGGAGTGGGAAAAATCTGGAGACCTCAAAGCCCCAAAGATTAGCAAAATGCACAGCTCTGGTTTCTCAGGTACATCCTTCCTGCTTCTGGAATCCCAAACAAGCTTGAACAAAATAGAAATTGCAGAATAGTGAGAGAAAACATTCCCTTCTTACTAGTTAGGGTATAGCAGTCCCTCCCCCCCCCACCCCAAAAAACCCCCTAGCTTTTAGTCCTGATGGGCCTGAATTCTATGCTGCTAAATAGGTTCCAGTTAATTCTGACTTACTATTTGCAGGATACAATACCCAACGCCAAACAGAACAAATTATTAATGTCTTGCTTGTTGCTTGTTTGTTTGTTAAGCTATCCCCTTCTCTTGATAGGAATATTCAAGTTGGCTTAAAATAAAAATTAAAGTCAAATTTTAAAATAGCATAATGAAATCAATCCAATTAAATCAAGCCACAGTTAAAAACTTGGTAAGACTAGCACTCCTCCCTGAGGAAAGCATTCAACAACTGAGAGCCCAACAGGAGAAGACTTTCTCTTCAGTAACCATCTTGCAGTGGGATCGCCTTCAAAAAGCTTCTCTTATTGATGTAAGTAATAATTCTATCCACAATGCAGAAAGAAATAGCCAAACCCTGCATTTGGCTTAGAGCTCAACTCAATATTTTAGTGGAGCCAAGCATAGCTTCTTCAGCTAGTTTTGATTGCGTGTGACTCTGATCTTCGTACAGTACACATCTTTTTGCATGAAAGTTTCATTCAACCATCTTGGTTAACCAATGAGTTCACTACTCAACTTTCAAATCCTGCTTTTACAATCAGCTTGGATAAGAGTCAACTCACAACTGCCTATGATATATTAAAAGATGAGAATAGGACTTCACCTCCCCATCATCACCTGATAAATCTCATGGGTTTTTTTCCCTTGAATCTTATAAGAATTCAAATGAATGTAGTATACAGGTAGTTTCTGTTTAACAAATGCCCTATGAAGCAATTATTTGAAGTCCTGAAAAATAACTTTACAACTGGTCCTTGCAGCATCCATTGCACCATTCGTGCATCCGAGATCTGGGCAGCTCGCAACTGATGGTGCTTACAACCATTGTAGAGTGCCAAGGTCACATGATTATTTGCACACTTCACAGATGACTTCCAACAAGTAGACTCAATGGAGAAGCCAGCTGTAAAATTGCAAGTTGTGTTCATGTGATTTCTTGATTAATAACCGCAGTGATTTGTTTAACTTAATAACCTAACAACCACAGAAAAAATGAGATCATAAGGCATTGAAGTTGCATGATGTCCCATTTAATAATGATAGATTTGCTGATCCCAAATTTAGTCATTAAGGAGGACTAACTGTATCTGGGGGAAATTGGGAGAAAAAACAGAATGATATGAGATTCTGGGAATAAGAGTGTGAATATTTGGCAATTTTTGACTAGAGAAAGAGATACAGATAGTTTTTGAATTACTACAGGAAATGGGACCAGAATTTCCATTGCTAAATGATGGGGGCATAAAGCACAATGTCCTTGACTGCATTGCGTAGCAACAGCAATCCCTGCATTTCTGTTGCTGTGGTTAAATGAGGACTGTGTGTCATCAGGCAAGCACTTCCTTGCTACTTCCTGCCAGCTTCTAACAACCAAAGTCAAAGTCCCAGAGGACTTGCAATTAGGCCAGTAAGTGACTGCAGCTGGGTGGGAGAGGATGCACAAGTCACCAGGTTGGCATGATACAAGCACGAGACTCAAGGAGGGTGCCAGGTGAGGGAGATTTACCAGAGCAGCTTGTGATCTTCTCTGTTGGCTTCCCTACCAAGTTTGTTTGTGGGAAGCTGGCAAGGAAGGTCACAAATTGCAATCCACATGACCACATTATGCTGCAACTATCATAAATGTCATCTGCACAACTCTGAATTTCATTAACTTTTAAAAATTAAAGGATGATAGACATAGAAGGTGATTTCTGGATACCACAACCAATTTATATAAAGGCCCAGTGTAGTTCATTCCTTCCCTGGAACTGCAGGAAACTACAGATCATTTGTCAGACACCCCAAAATGTGGATCTTTAGGAAACAGAAAGCCTAATGAATGAAGTTGAATTGAGTTGCTGCAGCTGACCACCTGCAAGGACTAATTAAAGCAGGCTCAGACTAATGTTGACACAGAGTCAATATTATGATTGGGTTTTTTTCCAAAAGATTTTTGCAGTATGAGTTCTGGTGTCAGATCAGAGGATGAATACAGTATTTACTGTATTCTATGCAGTAGTGCAGCTGAAACACTGAATTATAGGGACAGCTACTTAGCATCTGGATCTTTCCACCATTTTGCACTCTAGCACTCTGATTTCACTTTTGCTTGAACATTAATAAGACAAATATCAATATCTTATGTGCTTATTGGAATGTACTAGAACTGCAAGATCTGCAATGTAATGGCTTAGGGAACTGCACTTTGCAAATATATACAGTATTTAGAACAGCAGTGTCTAGCCAAAGGAGATGTTTGCTTCCCTTCCAGCTTTTATTAGGTTTTTTTTTTAAGTTTCTTCCCCAAACTTTTGTGTATATATTTCCCACCCAGTTCCCTGAAGATGTTCATGTTCATAATCATAGTTTCACAGCAGCCTGGTCAGGAAAAGGAAACTGGCAGGAATTCGGTGGCACTTTTAATCAACAACACACACAAAATTGCACTACTGCACAAAAATTGGATTCAGAAATATAGGAACATGAGTGACCTGCTGAATTGGACCCATGGCCCATCTAGTTCATCAGTCTGTTCTCACAGTTGCCAACCAGTGGCTAACCAGTAGGCAACCAACTATATAAGGAAGCCCACTAGTCTCCCAGATTAATGGTCATTAATGCTAATGGCCATTGAGCCTCATGATTTCTGTGAATCAGTTCCAACCCTGTTTTGAACCCATTCAAGATGATAGCCAATAGTAGTTGTGGGAGTAAATTCCAAAGTTCCAATTGTATGTGGTGTGAAGGTTTTCACTATGCTAAAGCTCAATATAAAATGCATGAAATCATAAATTGGAATACCACTTTAAACTTTTAATGTTCTGTTGCATTTCTCACAGAGTATAGCCTTCCATGTCAGAAGGCAGCTCCATTTCCTCTTTCTCTCTCCTCACCTTTTTAAATTAGCATTCATCTTAAAATGATATAAAATTAAAAGTTCCTTTGATGACATAAAGCTAAAAGTTCCCTTATAAAAGCCTGCAAATATGGCTGGAAGCTGATTGCTGATAGAGTATCCCTTTTAAAGCCTTCTGTCAGCAGTTATCAATACAGCTTGTGACAAAGAGTTCCATAAGCAAACAATGTTATTTTTTTCCCTTCAGTCCAGAGTGTATTAGCACTGATTGCATGCGTTCTTGGGACAAGTTTTTTACTATTGGGATATGAAATGATATCAGACAATGCCCATAAACAAGCAGAGCAGCAGCATGCTAAGGGCAGGGAGGTTTGGTAATGGAATGTGGAATCAAATGGTTCATCAGAGCAATTGGAACAATGGCAGAAATGTAGACAACAGACGAAAAGCTTCTGGGACTGAATCCTGGCTCAGATTTAATCCTGCTAAAATGCTGCTGCAGCATATTGAACTAATGCAATGTTTGGCTTTATAATAGAGAAGGGCTAAGGCTAAAAATAAGAACTAAAAAAAAGAATGTTACTCAAATATGAGAGTTAGTTCTGACTTGTGGTTTGCTCATTCCTTTTCCTGAAGAAGACAGGACAATTGCAGCATGAAGTGATGAGAATATTTCAAGGGCTGAAAAATGTAATTTCCAAGAAAACGCTATAGAAGGTTCAACACAAAAGAAGGATAAGACAAGTTCAGAATATATTGCAATGAGAAATAACAAATTTAACACTT